CTATGCAAGTCTTCATGAGATTTCAATCATCCTAATCTCAAAGAAATTTAATAAAATAAAATTGATTTTACCCACAAAACACAGGATGTCACACATTTCTTAAATGTGAAATATTTACCTATATATTTCAAGAAGTGTGTATACAAGTTGGACCAAAATAATTTTTAAATGATTATTTTATTTGATGAGAAGGGGTTTAGGCCACCATCCGTGATGCTCATAGACGGCCTCAAGGCAAAGGCCCTACCCATTGTACTCTGGCCCTACAATATTTTTTAAGCCTGTTTTATGGCAAAACAAAACCTTGTCATTTAATATTTAACTATCTATTAAAAATAATTCAGGCTATGAAAGAAAAATATTCAAATCATACCCCTTTGGGGGGGGGGGAAAGTTTAAGTAATTAGACTGAAATCCAGTCTTTTAGACCTTAAGAATTCGTGAAATTTCTACTTTCCCAATTTATACAAGATTAAGTAATTCTTTTGCTTTCCAGCTTTTCTTTTTTTGCGGGGGGGAGGGTTGAGAATGAGGGCCTTTTGGGTCCCACCGGGCGGTGCTCAGGGATCACTTCGGGCAGTGAGTGGGAACCACAAGCAGTGCATGGGGATGGAGCCCAGGCAGGCTACGTGCAAGGAAAGAGCCCTACCCACTGGATTACTGCTCTGGCACATTTTTAAAAATAGTAGAATTATAGGGAACTCTAACATGCGGAAAGTGTCTAAGAGCAAGGTTTCATTACATAATAATATTCTTATATTTATGGGTAAAATAGAAACTACAAATTAGAAAATTTTATTTTCCTATTCACTTTCTCAATTAAGCCCAAATGACACACAGAAAGGGAACCTACTTAAAAAGAAGTTAGCACTGCAACTCAACTAAAATATAGATATAATCTAAAATATGTAATATAGGTATATATAACATAGATATACATTATATATAATATAATCTAAAATATAAAAATTAGACCTTTATCAAATCAAAAGTAATACTTCAGTGGTAACGATACATACACACCTGGTAAAAACTGAAAATTCTTTATAATCACAAATTTTTAACTGTCTTTTACCTTCTTTTCATCCCAAACTGTATAGGCATAACACAATATATGTGTTTAAAGAGCCTTATTAAGTATTTAGCAGAGTCAACAATAAAAAACCCAAAACAAAACCCTGTAAGCTTTTGAAAAAAAATGGTAGTTTGTAGTACAATCAAGTTCTTTATGCTTATCAATGTTTATAGAAAGATTACCTAACAGAAATAAAACACCATTTTAAAAACTAAAAAGCTGGACATATTACTCAGTAACAAAAGAATAAATCATCTTGGTTGTTCTTTCAAAAATAATAATCTACTTTCGAAAGTAAAATGCCAGCACTGCATCTAGAAAAACTCTAAAACTTTAATTGATTTAAAACTTTAGATACCTAAAACATATTATTTCTTTTTAAAAAAACAATTCAATGACTAAGTAACTATGATTACTTATTTTTTTGATATACAAAAATAATTTAAAATAATCAGTAGTGACTGCTAAGGTGTTTTTGTTTTTAACTTGCTTTCAATTAGGTTCCCTTAGCTTGTTTTATTTATTTATTTATTTATTTTGCTTTTCTGGGTCACACCTGGCGATGCACAGGGGTTACTCCTGGCTCTGCACTCAGGAACTACTCCTGGCGGTGCTCAGGGGACCATATGGGATGCTGGGATTCGAACCCAGATTGGCCGCATGCAAGGCAAACACCTTACCCGCTGTGCTATTGCTCCAGTCCCTTAGCTTGTTTTTAAAAATTTACCAGTGAGTCAATTTTCTTTTTAAGTTTTTTTTCCCCAGGACTATGACCTAACCCCTTTCCCCCCACCCCCACTTTATTGCTTTATTATGTCATTGATAATTTTATTAAAACAGGAAAAATTCTGCCTAAAACCACTTCACTACACAAAATACAAACTAAAACATTTGACATGATTCACTTATACATATAATAAAATTACTTTCACGCATGCTATCTGTACAAGATGCTGAACAAAGTATTAGAAACACTGAGCCCCCTGCCTCGCCGCAAGTTCATCCCCTTTTACCTATTTTAGCCTTGAGCCTGCCTAGAGTCTCTTCACCTTGAATTCTTGTGAGAGCACAAATATTTTCATAGTAATGACGTAATGTGGTTAGAGTGAAGAGTCAGGTAGCAAGTTTGTCATCAAAGTCTTGGATTTAACACTCTATGCCTCAGTTTCCTCGCTTGTAAAATTAGTTGTATGTATCTCTTCCATAGGCACTTAATTAAGGGACATGTAAAAATATGAATCAATATTCCAAAGAATGGAATACAATAGAACCCTTAAAATAAAAGGCTGTATTGTCATAAACAATATATAAGGATGTCCCAAATAACCAAATTGCAAACAGTATGATCCAATCCGCATGTATTCTATTAATTAAGGGAGGGGACGTTGGGGCCACAACCTGTAGCATCCAGGGTCCACTCCTGGCTCAGTCAGTGACTGGAACCAGGGTTGTTTGCATGCAAGGCAAGCATCTTAAACCCTATTCTATCTCTCTGACCCCTGTCATGGAGTTTTAAAAAAAATGAAAGAGCAATCTGTTGGTATAAATTCTATAACTAGAAAAGACCTGAGTTCAAATTCTGACCTTATATTTACCAACCACGAGACATGATGTTACTTAAATTCAAGAGCTGGGAGAATAAAAGGAAGCCAAACATGCAAGACATAGCATAGCACACTGAAGGAGCACCACAATGTAACAGTTAGGACTGCAATTATTATCAATATCATAGTGAACTCCAGACATTGAATATCTTTAGAATCAAGATTGACAATGAACTCAAAATGACCAATTTCAGAAGTAACCAATACCCATTCAATCTCATCAGTATACTAAGCACATTTATTAATTCATGAGGCTTAACAGAAAAACTGTAACAGGCAGGATACTCTTTTCCTTAGTAATCCAAAGTTCCCACGTAAGGTTTTTTTCTTATTTTAACATATAACTTCTCATTTTCCTAAAAATATGCAGTCATGCAAATAACTTATCAATTAATTATAATAATTCAATTCATGGGATGTAGAAAAATATATTCTCCATAAAAATCAATTCCAAAAATGCATACTAGATGACTGCGTAGAAACTTTTCTCACAAAAATTTTAAAACTTAGGGCTGAATATTATCAAACCAAAATACTCGAAGTCTTAAGTCTGGTCTTTATGCTAAGAAGTACTCTCACAAAATACCACACTAACAATATGCCATTTTATTTTCCCAACAGATAAGAACACCTCCTGAATTTCTACAAAACAACTGAAAGGATGTTGCAATGAAGATAGATCAAATCAGCACGCGGTACGACGAAACGGGTATGTTCATATTGCAATTCTGACAGGCCTTCCTGGTATTAGAAAACTGCCAATATCAGCATGATGAATTCAAGTTTGAATTACTACAATCACAGACGAAAAGCTCACACACGTTTCATCTTACGGAAATGAAACAGGCGCCACTTAATTTCCTATAAATCTGTCAGAATTCAAACCACCCAAAAAGCAACAATGTCAAATCAGAGAAGTAGTTACATTTGCACACACAAAAGAGTTACTGTAGCTTTCCTCAAGTTCTCACCTCAACCCCCCCCCCCAACACACACACACACACATAAAATGGGCACTTCAAGAGGCCCTAAGAACTGCACGTCTACTCCACAGACCACTGCACCTTGCAGAACTGGCCTTTGGAGAGCGTCCTGAGAGCAAAGAGAAGGGATGCCACCCGGTTTCCGAGAAATTAACACAACACCCCCGTGTCCCCTCTACGCCAGAGGTGCTGAGAACCATCATTCAGAAATATACCCGTCTCGGATTCTCTAACATTCGAAACACAGCCAACAGATCAGCCACAACAGACCAGCAGAGCTCCCCCATCGCCTCCCGCCGCCGCCAGGCCTCTCTGTCAAGAAGCACCAGCCCCAAGTAAAACAACGCGATGCAATTTCCTTGTTTACTTAAAGATTTTGCAGGAAACATGTTGACTGCTTCCAACGCAAACCGAGTTTCACGATGGAGAAGCTATTTTTCATGACATTTTTTTTTTAAAAAAAGACAAGAAGAGTGATGGCCTGGTCCGCTGGTAAAAAAAAAAAAATGAAGTCTAACTTTTTATCTTTCGGGTAAAAATCTCACGCTGCAGTTCATTAGCATGCCTCGTTTGCAAGCATAAGGAAGAGCGAAAAGGGGGGTGGGGGGCCGAGCAGCCAAACACACGCCGATCGGGGGGGGGGGGGGGGAGGGGGAAAACATCATCGCCGCCTTCCTCGGGGGTCACGAGTGCATTTCCATGACCCCAAGGGGTAGGTGCAGAGTTCGGGGACCTGGGAGCCCGGGGGGTGGGGGGGTGGGGGGGGCTGAGCACCCGCGCGCGGCCCCTTCCCGGTTCCGACTGAGGTCGGGGACGGGATTTATTTACTCCGCAGTGCCTGGCAGCAAACATGGCTGCCCCTGCCCCCCTTTAAACCCGAAGAGTCCTCGTTCCCCTCGCAAAACACCGCACGGAGGGCCGTGCCTGCCTCCCCTCGCCGCTGCCACCGCACACGCCCGGCTCCTCCTCCCGGGGAGCGGCAGGACCTCCGCCTCCATCGCCCGGCCGCCCGGCCCCGAGCCGACGGCCGCGGAGCCCGGGCACGGATGCAGGCACACGCAGGAACAAAAGGCGGTCCTGGCTCGGCTCCCCCGGCCCGCAGCCCCCGGCCCGCTGCCCCCGGAGCGCGGCCCCGGCCCCGTCCGCGCCCGCCCGCCCGGAAGGCGCGCTCCGTCCTCCTCCCGCGTCCCGTCCGCGCCGCGGCCCCGCCGCCGCCGCCGCCGCCGCAGCCACCTCGCCCCCGCCCGCCCGCCCGCCGCCGCCGCCTCCCCGCGACGCCCCCCTCCGCGCCCACCCGCCGCCCCGCGCCCGGGCTCCCCCGGCCCCGCGTCCCGGTACCTTCAGTCTGTTCCATTCTAACCCCCCGGCCGTGTCAGCGCGATCACAGGAGACACACGGACGCCCCGAGCGGGGCCGCGGGGGAGGCGGGCGGGAGCGAGCTAGGCCGCATGGAATCCCCGGGCTAGATTTCCCCCGCGCCGGACGCCTGCGCCATGGCGGCCGGCACCGGGAGGGCCGCGGCCGGGCCGGGCGTGGAGCGCGGCGGAGGGCGGCGGGGGGCGCCGGGGGGCGCCGCGCAGCCGCTGCTGAGGCCGGACGCGAGCCGGAGCGGCGGCGGGGCCGGACAGAGGAGCCTCGGGGCTCGGCCTAAGCGCGCCTTCCCGCGCCGGGACTGGACAGTCCCCCTCGCTCTCTGCCTCGGCCCGGCCGTCCGTGCCGCCGCCGCCGCCGCCGCCGCCGCCGCCGCCGCCGTCGCCGCGCACCGTCCCCCGCCCGAGTCTCCGAGCGCCGCCGGCGCCGCCGCCAAATCCGCGGCCCCTCATTGGCCGCCGGCCGCGGCGCATGCCGGGAGCTGTAGTCCGGGCTGGAGGCGCGGGCCGAGGGGAGGCAGCGCCGTCGGCGGGGTTCAGGGGGAGCGGCGGGAGCAGGAGCCCCAAAGAAGAGCCGCCCGAAGGGTCTGCGCGAGGGGGGGGGCCCGCGCACCCTGAAGGCAGCGGGAAGGCAGGGACGATGCCGAGGAGAGCGCGCGGCAGAACCCGCCCCCGGGCTGGACGTTTGGCCCCGGGTGAAACAAACAGCGCCTAGTTCCTTACTGCACCCCCTTTGCAACCATCTGCTAGCCCGCGGGGTGCCGGTGCTGCGCGACCCCGAGGTGTCGGGGACAGCCTGCGGACAGGTGCCGGCTGGAGACGGGCCGGAAGCCCCTTGGACAATCTATGTGCCCCCTAGATTGGCGAGGGTCAGACAGCTGTCAGCGCACACCCTGCTCCACGGGCGCTCGCATCTGGGAACCCTGGCAACAGTGTCAGACCTCAGACTGGGGAGACAGCAGTGAGAGGCGGACGCCTCCTTCTCCCCCCACCCAGAGAGCTTGCTCGGGAGCGTCTCGAGGCCTGGGCTGCAGCAGGTCAGCCCTCCCTCCCGGGCGGGCGCCGGCCCCCGCGCCTCCTTCCTGCTGGCGGTGCAAGCCCGAGGCTTGTGGGTAAGCAGGAGCACGTCAGCGCCCGGGGGCTCCGTGCCAGTCACGTGCTCGAGCCTGCTGCTGCTGCTGCTGCTGCTGCCGCCGCCGCCGCTGCCCCCCAGACCTTCGTTCGCTTCGAGAGATGTGAGGGCATCTTCTGTCCTTGACCGAGCAAGGAAGAGAGGAGGAAGCGGGGAGTGGGGGTGGGCGGGGGGTCGGGGGTGGGGGGGGGGCTGTCAAGATTCTCTAGTTCTCTAGCCCCATCCCCCAAGTCTAGAAAATTGATGTTAAACAATAGGTGTCCTAGGTGGGTGACGTGGAGACTAGGCTCGCGGGGCTGTGCAGACGGGGTGATCTGTTCAGGGGCCGGTTGGTGACTTGGAGCGTGGAGGCGCAGACGGGCGCGTACAAAGGAAACGCGCCCGGGTCTGATGAGGAAACCGGTCCTTTGCTCGCCCTGCCCAGAACGCTGAAGCTGTGGCGCACTCTCCTCCCCCGTGGCACGGTGATCGGTCTGTTTGGTGCCTTCCAAGAAGTCCTGATAGCTTTACACAAATGAAAAATTAAAAAGGTAACTACAGAGCAGTGTTTGCTTGTTGGAGTTCAACGCCTACTGCTGGCTCTGCACTCAGGCATCACTCCTGGCAGGGTCCAGGTGCCAGGGTTGAATCCCGGTCAGCTGTGCAAGGCAAGCGCCCTACAGGCGGTACAATCTCTCCAGTCCCTAATTTGATTATTTAAAATAAAATAAATAAACCTGTAAACAAATACTGCGGATGACATCAGAACTGTGAGTTCCCACTACGATTAATCATCAAATATTTCTAAGTCTATGCACGTGTTGTACTCATGCTTTGCGTGATAACCCAAGGTTAAAGGAGCTGTAGACACCACATTTTTAGGGGCTGTGGACATGACTCAAAAGGCTGGAGCACATGCCCTGAATACAGAAGCTTCAGGGTTTGATCCCTGACACCCAAAGCTCCCACTACCCAGCACCATAGCAGCAACTCCCCAACAAGTCCGGAGCACCACGGAGCACTTAGCCAGGATAGCTTCCCAGCACTGCTGAGTGAGAACCCAAACAAAGCCAAAAATTTTAAAACAAACCCCCAAAACCCAAACGTTTTTATTGTTGTATATGTTTGTCGTGGCTGCGCGACATCTTATTATGACATCTTATTATCTCATTCCTACTTTGGACAAACTGGCAGGCTATCGAATGTAACCTGCCCACACGGCAGAGTCTGGCAAACTCCCCGTGGCGTACCCAATATGCCAAATACCAGTAACAATGATGGTTCTCATTCTCCTAACTCTGAAAATGCCTTGAATATGGCACTTTTTAAAAAATCTCAGGGCTAGGATGAAGGAGACGTTACTGGGGCCTGCTCGAGGCAATCGACAATAACAGGATGGTCGTGATCGTGATTGTGATGTTTGTTTTATCTTTTTGGTGGGAACAGGAAAATTGTACAGGAAGCAAGTCTTTTGCCTTGCATGCTGCTGACCTGCTTGAAATCCCTGGCAACACATGTGGTCTCCCATGCACAGGCTGGCATAGTCCCTGAGTGTGCCAAAACCCAACACTAAATAAAAATTTGAATATGTCTTTGGTGGTGGGAAATGTACACTGGTGAAGGGATGGATTAGAACACTGTGTGACTGAAACCCAATCATGAATGTTTGTAACTGTGTATCTCATGGTGAACAATTTTTAAAAATATTTTAAAAATAATGTCTTTTTTAGAACACAGACCTATGAAGAGGGCTGCCTGCCTCTGTTTTAGGTGCCACCTGTCTCCTGGAGAGACTAACTGGCTCTCTCCATAACCCTTTCTGCCAATGTCCTCCTTTCTCCACCATTCTGTATTTTCATGGTTTTGTTAATAAACCATGAACTTGATCTGACACCTGGATTTTCCCCTTGAAAAAAAATATGCTAAATTGTTCCAGGGAGTTTTATTTAACCTATATCTAAAGCTATGCTTAGAGTATAAAATTAAATATATGTAAATAATTGGGCTTGAGCAATAGCACAGCAGGCAGGGCGTTTGCCTTGCACGCAGCAGACCCAGGTTCAATTCCTCCACCCCTCTCATAGAGCCCAGAAAGCTACCGAGAATATCCCACCCGCGGCAAAGCCTGGCAAGCTACCTGTGACGTATTCAATATGCCAAAAACAGTAACAACAAGTTTCACAATGGAGATGTTACTGGTTCCCGCTCAAGCAAATCAATGAACCATGGGAGGACAAAACACTGTCCTCCTGCGGTTCATCGATTTGCTCGATTTGCCCCAGCGGGCCAAGTAACCTCTCCATTGTGAAACTTGTTGTTACTGTTTTGGCATAGCATATCAAATATCAAATACATCACGCGTAGCTTGCAGGTTGGTGTGCTGGGGAGATAGTCTTGGTAGCTTGCTGGGCTCTCCGAGAGGGGCGGAGGAATCAAACCCGGCTCTGTCTGGCTGGCTGTGCGCAAGGCAAATGCCCTACTGCTGTGCTATCGCTCCAGCCCAATACGAGGACAGTGCTATATTAAATAATTGGGTTTAGGCTATGCTCAGGGATTGTGCCTGGAAGTGATCAAGGGACCCTGTGTGGTAGGCACCAAGGATCAAACCTAGGTCAGCCATATGCAAGGCAAATACCTTACCTGGTGTACTCTTTCACGCCTCTTTAAAAAAAAAGTATAATTTTAGCATCTAAGTTTCTCTGAAGTTCAGAACTTGCTTTTTCTTCATAGAAAATGAATAAACAGGGAAACTGGGAACATTGGTGGTGGAAAACATACACTGGTGGAGAGATGGGTGTTGGAATGCCGTATTACTGAAACTCTACCATGAACAGCTTTGTAACTGAATCTCATGGTTCTAGGAAGAGGAGGAGGTGGAGGAAGAGAAGAAGGAGAAAAAGAAGAAGAAACAATTCATAAGGACAGTTCATCTTGGGGCTGGAGCAATAGTAAAAAGACAGTTCATCTAGTACAATTCTCAGGGCTGGGGTTATGGAGCTATTTGTTCGGTTTCACTTCAGAAAAGTATATTTAAAAATTTCTTACATGATAAATCACTTATCATGAAGAAGAAAAAAGAGGCAGGCTTCCTAACAGAAGGCAGACATTGCCTTGAACAAATGGATTTCAATAAGGTTTCTTAATCCATCCCTTTACAGAATAGGATTGCCAACATATGGCCATAGTTGAAACCCTAGCTCATCTTTCAAATACTGAGCTTGGAATTGTTCATCTGGTTTATGAATACTTAATGATTTTCACTTTGGCTGGTTGTAAGTGAATACAATGCATGAATAAAAATATTTTCCAGTCTAAAATGTCTCCCAGAGAGGAGTATTTCTGTATCCTTTATGATCTTTTTCCAGAAAAATATGTACGCATAGTAGTGCAGTGATTAATTTATGCAATGAGTTTGAGAATTATATTTTACCTAAGCTTTTAGAACTCAAAAATTCACCATCAGGAATTTTCAGGGAGGGTAAAGTAGAGAGATCAAAGCTTTGGAGATTGAATTAATTCTAGTAAACAGAATGTGAAGTGACACCTTTTAGGTGGAAAGTTGATCATTAGACATGTTCAAAGGGACCTCTAGCGGCCAAACTGAAAATTCATGCCTGACACAGTTCATTCATTTGATCTTGGCTGAAAAAGAAAGTGTTGCGGATTCCAAGTGTTTCCTTAAAAAACTGAAATTTTGTATCGCCCATCTTCATTCTTACAAATGTGCGGCCCAGATGAGTGGCGTTTGTGGTCGTGGTTAGCTGACATGGTAAGGATAAGGATAAGCATTCTCTGGGAGAAAGCTGTCGCTGCTGGTGGTCGGAGAGAGCCTCTAAAAATGCTGTCTCCCTTCTAGACCCAGATAAAAATGGGAGAGCGCAGATAACCGGGGAGCTACCAATTTTCTAGGAAGCCCATCCTAGAAGCTGAGGTCCTCCCCACCCCAATTCGAAGGTGCCTATGTCACCGCACACCTTCAGTTAGTATTTCACATGAATTTTAAATGGTTGCTTAACACAAACCACTCATCGTCATGCAAATCTAGCGGCACTCCTCTTTTCGTTGTTGGATTTCACAGTGTAGCTGTCTGGGCCCGGGAAAGGAGCGGGGTGCTTTCCTAACCATTCCCGTCCCTTCTGCCACTCCCTTCTCCCCGCACCCGTCGGGGGCCGGGCAGGTGGGGGAGGAACTGCATCAAAGTGAGGTCACTCGTGAGTCCAAAATGGTTGCCACGGCGACCAAAAAAGCACAATACACTTCTACATAGATGAGCTGCTGCTTTAATGCGGCCTTCACTGGGTCGCAGAGACGTCGGCCGAGCGCCAGCCGGCAGTCTCAGGACTCGAACCCGGCGGAAAAACCCTTCAGGCCGGGAGGCCTGGGCCTCGCCGCTTCCAGCCGGCCTGGACAGAGGCGCCCGCCCCCTCCCAGATCCCGGGAGCTCATTGGTGGGCAGTGTCGTCACTCAGAGTGACGTCACCGGCGCGGGGTGGGGAAGAGGTGGAGCCATAGAGTCTCGGCCTGAGCCCTTCTAGCCAGGACTGGGGCGGGCCTGGAGGACCGAAAGCCGTTCCGGGGAGCTCGGCAGAGGAGTGAGGAGTGAGCGGGCCGAGTCCTCCGGCTGTTCCCTAGTGGCCCTTGCCTGCCTGTTCTTCTGCCGAGGCCGGGCCGTCCGCATCCTCCGCCGGGCGACGGCGCCTCGTTTTGCCGACGGCTGCCAGTGTCCCACCTTGGCCTCTGCCCTGGCTTCGTCCCCTGCCGGTCGCCCCCACCTGCCGGGCTCGGCCTCATCCTCCTTCTTCCTGCTCCAGCTTCCTCCTCCTTAAGGTCCGTCCTCCCTCTCCGCCCACCTTAGCAGCCCAACAGGACACTCCCCCTCCCCGACTCCACCTAACAAGCTCTGTCCACCCCCATTACGCGCGCTAAGGACAGCGCCCGTCCGCGCATCAGGCGCGACGCCCCGCAGTCCAGCGCCTGCAGCCAAGGTACCCCGCGGCGCCGGGCTGTGGGCGGGGCCCGCTCTGGCCCCGCCCCGACACGCCCATCTGGGCGTGGCTACCCGCAGTCCTGGGCGGGGCGGGGAGAGCGCAGGCGGCCGGGACCCAGCTTCGCCTCCCTCCGCCTTCAACTCTCCCCACTTAATGCTGGATTCAGATGATCTGACGTGCCGTGGTTCAAAATGTCACCTCTGTGGGTGAGGTTTCTGCCCAGGAGAGACCCCTGGAACTTCTTTAACAGACACAGAAAGCTGAGTGCATAGAATGAGCTAGTAAGAGTCCTTACCTGCCCTGGACTGAAAAGTGCTCCCGGATGGATAAAGGTTTGGGTCAAGTGTGTTTACAAAGATGAAAGTTCAGTTTGGTTTCTTTGGAGCATCACTAGAACAGGAAACTGATTTAGTAGGGACAGAAAGGAAAGTAGTGAGTGCTTAACTTTTGGGGCAGCTTGGCCAAATGTGGGTGGGCAGGGAAGCCTACAAATCTAGGTTTACTTTTCAAATTTTTTTTTCTTTTGGCCACACCCGGAGATACTCAAGACTTACTCCTGGGTCTGTGTTCAGGGATTCCGCCTGGCAGTACTCACATGTGGTGTAGAACTATCTCACAGGAGGATAGAACTCAACCTCCCACATGCAAAGCAAGGGCTGTATTCTCTACTGTCTCCTCAGCCCCTCTCCCTGTATTTTGAGGCTACATTTAAGTATTCACGCTCAGTTTCTGAATATTTTTTAGACACTTGAAGAGATTACTAGGTATTATTATTTCTAGTTGTTGTTTTGGGGGTCCAGCTGTGCTCAGGGCTGGTGCTTGGGGCACCAAATGGAGGGCTGATCAAACCCTGGACAAAGCAGATGCCTTACATGCTTACACTATCGCTCTAGCCCCTACATATTGCATTACATAATAATAGGTGTTATTAACTATAAATCAAGATATCATGAGCATCATTACATTAGAAATCATTTATGTTTATTGGGATTTCAAAGTACCATTCCCAAGCCCACGGCTAAGGAAATACTATTGATGTTTGTTGGAAATGAACTTGAATATTTTGTATTCTGATCAGAACATGCAATATTTCTATCCTTGCAATAGTTAAAAAAAATTAAATCCTGATATTATTGCTTTTAAACACAGTATATGTTGTGTGTTTTTTATTATTTGTTTTTGGGTCACACCTGGTGATGCTCAGGGTTTACTCCTGGTTCTGCATTCAGAGATCACTCCTAGCAGCCTTTGGGGACCATATCAACCTCATGAGAGGCAAACACCCTACCCGCTGTACTGCTACTCTGGCCCCTAGTTTTAACTTATTTATTAATTTGCTTTTTGGGTCACACTGGGCGATGCACAGGGGTTACTCCTGGCTTTGCACTCAGGAATTACTCCTGGCGGTGCTCGGGGGACCATATGGGATGCTAGGAATTGAACCCGGGTCGGCCGTGTGCAAGGCAAACACCCTTCCCGCTGTACTATCGCTCCAGCCCCTCTAGTTTGTTTTTAAATACTAAATTATTTACTCATTTTATCTAGGTCCTTCTATTGACTATATATAAATATGGCCTTCTTCGGTTATAATACAGTCTTAACTCTTGGCCGGACAAGGTAAGCTTTGAGAATCCATTCCACTCAATAGTTATATACACTGTATTCTTCAATATGTGAAAGGATAGGCTTAGTATACAACTGAAGTTTTGCTAATTTTCAGGGACCCAAGCACAGCCCCTGACATTTTAATATGTTTAAATTTACCTCCAATTTTCTATATGCTTTAGAACTCAGGTTGAGTGATTTTGTAGATGTGAGCTAAAGGTAAAAGACGTAATAGTTTGAACGACCCCTCTATAATTGAGGAATATTATATGGGTCCTTTGGTTATAAACAAGTAAAATAGCTGACAAACAAATCCATTTTACAAACATGTCTGTCCCGGTAAAGTCTGAAATCCTTTATTCCAAAAAATATCCACTTAGGTGGCTGAAGAGATAGTAGAGGGGCAAAGCATTTGTCTTGAAGATATGATCCCTGACACTGCACGTGGTCCCTCTACCCCCTTCAGGAGTGATCCCAGTGCCAGAAGTAAGCCCCCAGCACTGCAGGTATGGCCCCCAAACAAAAGGCCTAAACCAAACCAGTGAACAAGAATATCCACGTAGAACTTATAATGTGTTGGATGAATTGTATATTTTCTCTTAGGCCAAAGATGGCCAAAAATGGCCTTTATTCTTTTGAACTGCTTTCATTTTTTTCTCAAACAAAACAAACAAACACTGTCTTCCCTTTGTTCATCGATTTGCTGGAGTGGGCCCAGTAACATCTCCGTTTTGAGACTTGTTGTTACTGTGTTTGGCATATTGAGTACGTCACGGGTAGCTTGCCAGTTCCAAATTATGGTAAAGGCTGTCTTTTTTGCCAAAAGAGGTTTCTGCCAGGAACGTCTTTGTCTAATTGGGTCTTATTTTTATTCTTAAGTGATCAGATATGTTAGTTAAGTTGGGATTTGTCAGCTGTAGCAAAACTGGAGTAGAGAAATTCTTACTAGTGCCCAATTCTAATTCCCATGCGTAGTGTTCTTGAAGAATCTTAGGTGAAGGGCATTTCAGCTCTAAAGTGCCTCTCATTTGAGCTAGTTCCTGGGTAATACATACACAAAATCCTATTATGTGGTTCATGATTCCCCACAGGGACCCCGAAGTGTTTCATTCCAACAGAATTACTATTGCCAGTAGAGTACGCAGAGACCTAATTCTTTTTTTGTTTTATGTAGATGGAAATTAAATTTCAAGCAACCCCTGGTGGTAGTTTGTTATTTAGTTTTTAATTAATATTGGCAAAGTTTTTTAACTTCTTACAAAGCAATTACTCTTAAGAATTAATTCAATATTTCTTATGTAGTATATCATTCAACCCTAGTGCATATTGTTCAATAGAAAACAATGCTATATTTCATTCATTAATGACATATCATCTGCATTTAAAGACAGACTGAAAACCTTGTTTTAGTCGGAGAAAATACTTACTTAATTTTTAAGCTTGTAATAGTATGTGTTCAACTCAGAGAATATTACTCTTTATTCCAGATTCCTTAGACATTTAATCCATCCAGCCTGTGTTCCTTGTTCCCCATCAATTGTGTTTCATCACTTGCCAGATTTCCATTTAAACAAAACAATTATGAAGGATTATGGAAGCAAGACATTCTGTCTTAGTCAGTCAGGCTGTAAAGTGCCTCATATACGCACTAGAATCATACAGAAACTACACACATCAACCTGCTGGCTACAAGAGGTCCCAGGTAAACATCAGCTAGTGAAAAGTACCAAAAAGCCACAGGTGACAAGCCTTGAGCCAACAAAAGAAACTGGCGTGAAGACTAAGGAAGCAAAGCGGTCTCTTAGACAAAAAATTGTGGATGAATTGAAATATTATTACAATGGATTCTCTTTGCTTTGGATTGACACCAAAAATGCTGCCAAAATGGTTTGGAACCTGTTGCATGGACAGGTGCTGACCAGACGAGAGAGACGAAGGGTAGGCAAGACTCGTATTTGAGAAAGAAAATGTAAGGGTGAAATGAACTGGTTTTGGTAGGGGGGTGCACGCACACCTGGGAGTAGTTGGGTCTTACTCCTAGTGTGGCTGGCAGGACGTTATGTAGTTCCAGGGATCAAACTCGGGTTGGGAGGCCAGATTACCCGCCATACTACCTCTCTGTTCCCAATGGACTGTTCTGAACTAAGTTTTCCCAGCAGGACTCAGGACTCTGTGTTGCCCGGGAATGAACCCTAGAACTCTGGCATGTAAATACATGTGCTCCAGCCCTTTAAGCTATCTGGCCTAAAACCAAATGTTTTGTTTTGACTTGTTTTTGTGTGTGTGTCCGCTGGGCATTGAACCCAGCCCTGATAAAAGCAAGGCAAATGCTACATCCCTAGCCCCCAGAATTAAGTTCAAACTCATTTTAAAACTCATCCTAAAAATTGCAGAGTAGCAACATTATTTGGAGGTGAGAACCAACATTTTCTATTTGCCAACAACTGACTGACTGCATAACTCTAGGTAAAATTTTTAAAATCTGTATAGTTTGCCTATAGAATGGTTAAAACTGATTTCCAAAAACATTATAAAAGCATTGTAAATCTTCAACTTTGATCTGTATACCTAAGTAAAAAGTTGTTAGTATATAAAAATTTACATAAAATATTACATATATATGTATATTTGGGACCATGGCTGGTGGTTCTAGGGGCTACTCCCTGCTCTGTGCTGAGGATTACTCTGAGCAATATTTGGGGGCCGTGTGGTTCTGAGGATTGAACCTGGGCCCCCAGCATTCAAAAGTGCTCAGCCTGTTGACCCATCTCTCTGGACCATAAAAAAAATGCCTTCTAGGAGCTAGACAGATATTATAGGGGTAAGTGCTTGTCACTTGGCACCCCATATGGCCCCCCCAAGCACCTCGAGGAGTGACGCCTGAGCACAGAATCAGAAGTAAGCGCTGAGCCCTATCAAGTGTGGCCTAAAGTGAAACTAAAATAATGAATAAATAACTTGTCATTTGTGTTCTCTTGGCACACCTGGCAGGGTTCGGGGGACATTCTTTTTGTTTATTCGTTTTGGGGCCACTGCGGCTGTGCTCAGGGCTTACTCCTGGTTCTGTACTCAGGGGTTCAGGGAACCTTGTGGGTGACAGGGATAGAACCTAGGTCAGTTTTGTGCAGGGCAGGTGCCCACTCACTGTGTCGCCCACCCCTCCCAGGTCCTTCCTAACTGTGCAGCAGGACCACGAATGCCAGGGGTGGCAATTGGGCTTCCCACACACAAAGCAGGTGCTCAAGGCACTGAGTTCACGGATGCAGAAAAAACAAAATCGAAAAAGTTTTGTTTTATTTACTTTTGGTTTGGAGACCACATCTAATTGTGTCCATGGCTCATGCTGTGCTTTGCGTGCAGGGGCCACTCCTGGCAGGTCTGTGGGATCCTATGAGAGGTGGGATATTGACCCAGCTTGGTTGTCAGCAGCAATCACCTTACCTGTGGTTGTATCTCTCCAGCCCCCTAAACACCAATTTTATTTCATTTATTATTTTGGGTTTTGGACTACACTGGGTGATGCTCAGGGATCACTCCTGGCACTGTGCTCAGGGATCACTCCTGGTGGGGCTCAGGGGACCATTTTTGATGCTGGGGATCAAACTTGTGTCAGCTGTGTGCAAAGCAGCATCCTACCCACTGTACCATAACTTGGGCCCCTAGAACCAGTTCTAAAAGATACCAATGTATTTAAGTATAGACCCCAAACTTAGATGCAAGCTAGGACAGAGCAAAATAGCACATAATGAATACAGGTTTTGACTCAGATTTTCTTTAAGACATATATATGTGTGTGTGTGTGTGTGTGTATATATATGTATGTATATATTTACTTCAGAGCCATGGAAAGCTCCACATTCCATTTTATGAACAGCTGCAGAAAATCTGTCTTTGATTTTTAAAACTTTGAGAACCAAGGCAGGCTTCTTTATTTGGGGGGGTTCTTTCTCTGTTTTTTTTTTTTGGCATGTTTTAAAATAATGAATATTTCATATGCATTTAATTCTTTAGCTGTTGAGAACTTGTGCTGATATCTTCCGCTTGGTTCCATTTATGGTATTCATATTTGTACCCTTCATGGAATTCTTATTACCAGTGTTTCTGAAACTCTTCCCAGAGATGTTGCCATCAACTTTTGAAAGTGAATCTAAAAAGGTATGTAGGATTTAAAATATTTTTTTAATTAAGACTTTTTTTAGAGCTATGTTTAGGTGTACTGAAAAACTGAGCAAAAGAGATCTCTTTTTTTTTTTTGTAGGAGTACTGCTATTTATTCAGCCACTGGTTAGCTAATTGAATTGGGCATGAACGAGCAGAAAGAGATCTCTTTAATATATACTCTTCTGCTCATTCTCATATTATTTATATCTTGAATGAGTAAGGTACATTTGATAAAATAAAACCACTACGTATAAATTGAAGCTCATACTTTTCCTTCACTCTTGGTATTACACACATCTATGGGCTTTAACAAACGTGTCTTGCCATGTATACACATCACAGTATCATACATGATAATTTCATTGCCCCCAAATTACTTGTGCTTCACTTGCTTATCCTTCTTCTCTCCTCCCTTCTCTCTCAACCTGAATCAAACACTGATCTCTGTACTGTTTTTCCTTTTCATTGGCTCGTTGTTGTTTGTTTTATTTTGGGCCATGCCCCTGGAGCTCAGGGCTTGCTTCTGGCACTGCTCAGGGCTCACTCCTGGCAGTGCTCAGAGACTATATGTGTTGCCAAGGATCAAGCTGGGTCAGCTGTAGGGACAGCAAAAATCTTCACTGCTCTTCTCTCTTTCTGGCCCCTATGCCTATGGTTTTGCCTTTTCCAAAAAGCCAGATTGTTGGAACTGTACGGTGTCTAGCCATCTCAGTGTGGCTTATTTAACTAAACAATATGCAGTTAAGATTCTGTCATGTCTTTCCCTGACTCCTTTCATCTATCACAGTGTAATATTCTATTTACAGCTTTAATGCAATTTGTTTATCCATTTACCTACTTAAAGACATCTTGATTGCTTCTGATTTGGGGTAGCTATGAATTAAGTTGCTATAAGTATTCATTTATTTGGACATAAACTTCCACAAATTTGGATAAAAGTCTAGAATAATTGCTTGGAACGTATGGTGAGACTATATATATATATATTTTTTTTTTGTTTTGGGGCCACACCTTACAGTGCTCAAGGCTTATTTGTTCTAATTCTCATAAAAGAATTTATAAGAATGATTTATTTGTTTATTTATTTATTTTGGGCCACACCTGGCATTGCTCGGGGCTTATTACTGGCTCTGCTCTTGGGAATCACTCAGGGAACTCTGGTGAGCTCAGAGAACCATATGGGGTATTGGGGAACGAACCTGGATTGGCCGTGTGCAAGGCTAATGCCCTCCCCACTTCACTATTGCTCTGGCCCCTCATAAAAGCCACTTACTCGGGTCTGAAAATAATATTACTCTATGAGAAATGGACGATCAGTAACGAGGAAGCAGTTATTTTTCTCTCCTCTTGAGTTTCTAAGTTGTAATCATGAAGGACTGATTAGCTTTTTTCCTCTTCTTTTGTTAAGGAAGAAAGACAGAAAAAGACATTGGCTGCAAAGTTGGAAGTAGCAAAATTCCTTCAAGAAACAATTACAGAAATGGCATGGCGGAACAGGGCCAAGTTGGGCGATGCTTCCACACAGTTCTCATCCTACATCAAACAGGTGTCTTTCACATAAAGCCAGAGTAAAAATAAAGATTTGTGTCATCTTCCAAATTGTTCACAATCTCTGAGTTTGCAAGCATCCAGATTATGTAATACAACCTTGTGAACATTTATAGTAATGTTCAGAGAAACCTATATTTGGGGGGACAGGGATCACACCCAGTGAGGCTTAGGACTTACTCCTGACTCTAATCTGAGGGATCATTCTATTTTTTTTTTTTTTTGCTTTTTTTGGGTCACACCTGGTGATGCTCAGTGGTTACTCCTGGCTCTGCACTCAGGAGTTACTGGTGGCGGTGCTCAGGGGACCATATGGGATGCTGAGAATTGAACCCGGGTCGGCCGTGTGCAAGGCAAACGCCCTACCCGCTGTGCTATCTCCCCAGCCCCTGAGGGATCATTCTTGACGATGCTTGGGAACCCTATGTGGGGCGGGGATTGAACATAGGTCAGCCGTGTGCAAGGCAAGAACCTTCCCCACTGGACTATCTCTGCAATCTGGAAAACAAAAAAAAAAATTTCAAAGCAATATATTATTTTTAATACTGTCATTTTTTGGGGGGGTGGGCAGGGGGAGCCACACCTGGTGATGCTAAGGGATTACTCATGGCTCTGTGCTCAGGGATCAGGAATTACTCCTGGTCGGGCTCAGGGGATCATGTGGCGTGCTGGAGATCAAACCTGGGTCAGTGGTATGTTAGCAAGTTCCTTACCCACTATACTATCTCTCCAGTACCCCCTCCCAACTTTCTTTTGGTGGTGCTTAGGGGATATTTCTGGCTTGGTGCTCAGGGTTGCTCTTGGCATTGCTTGCAGGACCATATGTGGTGTTGGGGATCAAATGGTCTTCTGCATGCAGAGCAAGCACTCCAGCCCCAATTGAATTGTCACTTTGGCATCGAATGGAGTAGATCAATTTTATTCTTTTTTTTTTCTTTTTAATTGTGCTGGGACTTGAACCCAGGGACTCAAGCATCAGAGATACATGCTCTGCAGCTAAGCCACACCCCCAACTGCAGACCTCTCTGCCCCTCTGTATCACAGGCCCATTCAAAGAAGCCAGTTGATGTCTTTCTATCTGATGTCTCTTATCAAAGAGACATCAAGTTGTTTTTCAAGTTGACAAGGAAGGTTAGATAAGGAACTACATTTTAACTAGCCTCTTTACCTCATTGTCAAGGTTCAGACAGGCCACAAGCCCAGCACGGAGGAGATTGTTCGCTTTTCCAAACTGTTTGAGGATCAGCTGACTCTGGAGCACCTAGACCGACCGCAGCTTGTTGCCCTGTGCAAACTGCTAGAATTGCAGTCCTTTGGAACCAACAATTTACTCCGCTTTCAACTCCTGCTGCAGCTGAAGTCAATAAAAACAGACGACGAAGTAAGAGTTTCGCTGTCGCCGTAAGGAGTTAGCAGAGCACTGGGCGATGCCGAGGGTGGCTTTCCACCAAAGTGGGGACTCTTCTAGGTCTGGTAGGGTGAGTGGTCTCGGCAACCACAGTCATGCCAACCTGTATGCCGATCACTCATTTTCAGAGCTATTTGTCACCCCTGACTCATTTTCTTTTCTCTTTTTGTTTTTGTCTGGGGGGCTACACCCAGCTGTGCTCAGTCCTTACTCCTAGTTCGGCACTCAGGGGGCTGCGGGGTCAAATCTGGGTCAGCAAGTGCAGGGGCATCACCCTGGCACAGTCCTGTGCTCCCTGACTCGCTTTCCTGCGGTGCCCATATGCTCCTAGTAATTTGGATTCGCAGCTGGGACTAAGCTGCAACGAGAGGGCCTGGCGGGGAGGACGCGCAACCCAGTGTCTGCCCCCGAGGCCGGGACCCCACTGCTCCCACTCATCTGCATTGCTGCCACCAAAGGGAATATTCTCTGGGCAAGTTGATCTGGTAAGAAGGGGTGACGGGAATAATTCAGGGGGAAAGCGGGGCCTTGCTCTGATGGGGAAGGCAGGCAAGTGCCCGTTGGACTAGAACTATTAATTAACTCCTTCGAAAATGGAAAGAATGTTCCTGAGTCTGAAGCAGCCCCTTGAAAGCGTTCAGCCCCAGGGAGCAGGCATCCCAGAACCGGGCAAGCATGATCTCACCATCCCCAGTGAGGGCTCAGTTGTTGTCATCAGAACTTGGGAATAAGCAACACTGGTCCTAGAGGAACCATTGTTTCTGTCACATCAAGCAGAAACTTCTTATGAAGAGAGTTTTACAGAATTGGGGCTACTCCTGAGGTGGTGGGATGGGCTAGTGGGAGAAGAACATTCTGGAACGTGCACTGAATGCTTCTCAAGTACAACTCTTATTTTTTTGGGGGGTCACACCCAGCAATGCTCAGGGGTTACTCCTGGCTCTGCACTCAGGAATTACTCCTGGCAGTACTCGGGGGACCATATGGGATACTGGGAATTGAACCCGGGTTGGCCCATGCAAGGCAAATACCCTACTTTCTGTGCTATGGCTCCAGTCCTCCATTTCTAATGAATCCTAAAGCTGCCATGAGGAGAGTAGAGCTGCCACAGGTCAGCTGCTAAGCAGGAGGAGAAAGAACCACCTAGTGACAAGCCAGGGCAGTCTCTGACAGAAAGCGTTCCTTGGTCTCAACTCCTACCTCGAAGTCAGCTGGACTTCCGGGGTAATGGCCTATGTGTGATGGCCACTGGGTAATGGCACTCCATCTGTCAGTGCCCAGGGTCAAGTATCCGGATTCTGGTGCCTTTGGTTGGAAGTCAAGGATTAGGTACGGTTGGAAGCAAAAACCCCAATACCATGCCCTGTATTTCTTTCAGGCAATTGCCAAGGAAGGCGTGAATACTTTGAGTGTGTCAGAACTGCAGGCTGCCTGTAGGGCCCGAGGAATGAGGTCCTTGGGTCTCACCGAGAAACAATTGAGACAAGCGCTCACAGAGGCAAGTAGCAGCTTTCTCGGGTCTTCTCTCTAGAACTTCCCCTCTACATTTGCACGCCTTACTCTGCAATTTCTACTTTGCAAGGGAATCCTGTTATGCAATTGGCCTTATTTCAGTGAGCAAAGGGAGGCTGAACAAATCAAATTTATTTTTGACTCAGGTGGCACTGCGTTTGTTTACTGCTGTTGTATATCAAGTTTTTCTTTTTTTTTTTTTTTGTCTTTTGGGGTCACACCTGGCGATGCACAGGGGTTACTCCTGACTCTGCACTCAGAAATTACTCCTGGCAGTAGCCCAGGAAACCATATGGGATGCTAGGAATTGAACCCGGGTCAGCTGCGTGCAAGGCAAACGCCCTACCCGCTGTGCTATCGCTCCAGCCCCTGTATAGCAAGCTTCAGGGATTAAAACAACACCCTATTTGTTAGCTCACAGCTCGGAAGTGCAGGCTGCAGTTGCTCCTGTGAGAGAAGAATCACTTCCACATTCATTCTGCTTTTTTGGCTGCTTACTTCCTTGCAGCTGTTGGCCTTGTTTCCTCACAGGCTGCTCAGAGTCCTGGAAGTCACCCTTTCTGTAGCCCGAGGTCCTTTCCATCTGCAGAGCCAGCAACTTAGAACTTCTCAGGTGTCAAACTCCCCACATTCTCAAACCTCACCTTTCTCTGTTTTTCTACCACTAACGACCCTCAGACTTAAGGATCTCAAGTTGTTAGACTCTAGTGAACTACCAGGGTAATCTTCAAACCAAGGTCAACTGACTTCATACCTTCATGGTATCTGCAGAATCCCTTGGTCAGGGGACTAGATTACTCTATGAATAACTGGGAGAAGGTGTGGGCTCAGGAACCACCAGGACTCACTGGACCATTTGAGAATTTTGCATAGTCCTGGTACCCTAAGTGCCTGGGCAGAATCTTTTATTTCAAGGCTTGTCATCTGTATGAATTGTCAGGAAATCTAAACCTTGTTCACTTGGGACATTTTCCCAGTCAGTACCCTCACCCAAAGTAAAGTGATAGCTTTGGTAAAGCATATTTAATATTTTCCCATCTGATATTGTATTTGTATTTGTTTGTTGTTTTCGGGGATTGAACCCAGGGTCTCACATGTGCAAGGCAAGTGGTTTCCCATAAGCTACAAACCCCAACCCTGGAGCATTTATATTTCAACTGTCAGTGCTATCAAAGGAGGAACTCTTATTCAAGCTCTCATTCCTGTAATTGTAGAAAGTGTTCTAAAATGTATACAGATTACTTTGGAATCAAGTCATTATTGTGATTGTGTAGTTAACAATTTCCTCCTTGATATGGGATCTTTTTGGTTAGAAGATGATCACATTAGGAGCTGGAGCCATAGTACAGCAGCTAGGGCACTTGCTTTGCACACAGCCAACCGGGGTTTAATTCCCAGCTGTCTACAGGGTCCCCCGAGAGTACCAGGAGTAATTCAGAAGCACAGAACCAGGACTAACCCCTGAGCATCCCCAGGTATGGCGCTATCAGCTAAAAAGATGGCTACATTAGATACTTAGACAAAGAGATACTTAAAATCATTTATTCTGGAACACAGGCTCTTAAGTGGGTTCTTGCTTGTCAGGTCTTTCTTTTTCTTTTTCCTTCTTTTCTTTTTTGCTTTTTTGGGTCACACCCAGAGATGCTCAGGGGTTACTCCAGGCTCTGCACTCAGGAGTTACTCCTGGAAGTGCTTGGGGGACCATATGGGATGTCAGGGATGGAAACTGGGTCAACTGCATGCAAGGCAAATGCCCTACCCGCTGTACTATTGCTCCAGCCCCTTGTCAGGTCCTTTTTGAAAGGATATATCATTTTACAATCTCACTACAGGGAATGTGACTACTAATCTAGGCAGATATTTAGTTCAACATGTATTTTTTTCCTTTAAACGCTGTAAACATGCTCGCCTCCCGTTGTTCATCGATTTGCTTGAGCAGGCCCAGTAACGTCTCCATTATTTTGAGACTTGTTATTGTGTTTGGCATATCGAATATGTCACAGGTAGCTTGCCAGGCTTTGCCGTGCTGGCGAGATACTCTCGGTAGCTTGCCGGGCTCTCCGAGAGGGGCAGAGGAATCGAACCCGGGCTGGCTGCGCGCAAGGCAAATGCCTTACCGCTGTGCTGTCACTCCAGCCCTCCTTTTAAACTGTCCTGTCATTGTCCTCCCGTTGTTCATCAATTTTCTCGAGCGGGCCCAGTAACATCTCCATTGGAGACTTTGTTGTTACTGTGTTTGGCATATCAAATACATCACGGGTAGCTTGCCAGGCTTTGCTATGCGGGCGAGATATTCTCGGTAGCTTGCCAGGCTCTCCGAGAGGGGTGGAGGAATTGAACCCGGCTCAGCCAGGCTGGCTGCGCTCAAGGCAAACGCCTTACCGCTGTGCTGTCACTCCAGCCCTCCCTTTAAACATGTATATAAATTTTACACTCAAATATTATCATTGTTTAAGTGATAGGGGTATGAATATGAATGGCTTTGTTTCTTTATACTCTCTGAATCCTCTACATTTTCTTTTTTTTTCTAATTTTTTTTTTTTGCTTTTTTTTTTTGGGTCACACTGGCAATGCACAGGGGTTACTCCTGGCTCATGCACTCAGGAATTACTCCTGGCGGTGCTTGGGTGACCATATGGGATGCTGGGAATCAAACCTGGGTTGGCCTCGTGCAAGGCAAACGCCCTACTTGCTGTGCTATTGCTCCAGCCCCTCCTCTAAATTTTCTGCACCATGCCTTATTATTTTATTATCTGAATGTATATATTTGCACCTTTTTTTTGTCCTCCTTTTTTTTAGAATCTGTGTTCCAAAAATCCTCTGATAGGATTCAAGCAGCATTTCGTACAAAGAAAAAATTTTCATTGGTAACCATGAGCCATCTGAACCTCATAATAGGATACACTAATGAGATGCCACATTCAGTGTTGGCACAGATGCGTTTGTAGTCTATGTGTTGGTAGGGGCTGCGGGGGGCGGGGGTGCAGGGTATCCTGTGCTGGGGCAGAGCCCCCAGGGAGGACCTTGGTAGGTGTTGGGATATTAAGTGTAACAAATTATTGTGAACAACTTTCACGATCACGACCACCCTGTTGTTCGTCGATTGCCTCGAGCAGGTGCCAGTAATGTCTTCTTCGTCCTAGCCCTGAGATTTTTTTTTTTAAAGTGCCATATTCAAGGCTTTTTCAGGGTTAGGAGAATGAGACCCATCATTGTTACTGGTATTTGGCATATTGGGTATACCACGGGGAGTTTGCCAGACTCTGCTGTGTGGGCATGTTACATTTGGTAGCCTGCCAGTTTGACCGAATTAGGAATAAGATGATAAGATGATAAGATGGGCCTCGGTGGTCTTCAGCTGTTGGGCCCTGGTGGAGACAGTCAGGCATAGGGTAGGAGACTCTGTCTTGTTCTCTCCCAGGAGCTGAGCGTGATGATCTCTGGATCCTGGCCGTTATTTTATAAAAATAAAATAATATAATTTTTTTGTTTGTTTTTTTTGGGTCACACCCAGCGATACTCAGGGCTGACTCCTGGCTCTCCACTCAGGAATCACTCCTGGTGGTGTTTGGGGGACCATATGGGATGCTGGGAATCGAACCTGGGTCGGCCGCAGGCAAGGCAAATGCCCTACCCGTTGTGCTATTGCTACCCCCAAATTATATAAGTTTTTAAAAAATAAAGTTACAGTATCCTTCATAACTTAAAAATGCATTTTTAGTGGGTTGGGGAGAAGGTCTAAGCGGTAGAGCTCAGCCTTGCATGTGTGTGAAGCCTGAGCCCCGCCCCCATGCGTCCTCCCCTCTCTGGCCCCTGCAGTGCTGGTGTGGAAGCCCAGGGCACATGCTCTAGCCCTGGCCTGTCGGCTCTCCTGTCAGCATGTGTGGGAAAACAGTAGGTGTCCGAGGTCTCACTCAGGTCTGACATTCACGACTGTCCTTTGTTATTCCCGTCTCCAGTGGCAGGATCTCCACCTGAAAGAGAACGTACCTCCTTCTCTCTTGCTCCTATCACGAACACTTTACCTGTTAGATGTGAAGCCAAAGCCAGTTGAGATACCACTAACTGGGCAGGTGAGTAACTGATTCACAGAGAACCTGGATTTCTGTAAGTGAGGCCTCTGGCCACAATGACTTACTCATCCCTTCCAGTCAGAGGAAACGACTGGATATATCTTTTGGAATTTGGCCAAGCTGTTTTTGAACCCTTGCAAAATTCCCCCAGATATCAAAATCATTCAGGTTACTTTTAGGCAACATGATATTATCTTTCATCCCAGCAGAACTTTTGTGTTGGTTTTATTTTGTTTGGGGGCCCCACCCAGCAGTGTTTGCAGGACCATGAAGTGCTGGAGACCCACCTGGGTTTCTGCATGTGCCCTTACTCCCAGCCCTCTCCCAAACTCTTCCTAAGCAAGCTTTTGATCCCCCTCACTCTCTCTTTGTTGAGATTGAGTAGTTCTTTCATGGACGTTCCATTTGTCCAGATTATAATTGGAAGGGAAGAAGGGTTTGGGGCCACAGTGTGCCCTGAGGCTATTCCTAACGGTGTGTCCAGCAATGCCCTGGGTGCCCAGAGACCATATGCAGTGTTGGGTACCACTAACTTCAGCTCCACGGAGGGCTGATGTCTTACACCTCTACTAATTTCTTTAATTTAAGAGTCCTAGTTTGGGTTGTTTGGGGCCACACGTGGTGGTGCTCAGGGATCACTCAAGGTGAGCTTGGGGGACCAAATGGGATGCTGGGGATGGAATCCAGGTCAGTCGCACGCTGGCCCCGTGGTGTACTTTTTGAAATCCATGTTTCTAAGTTCCTATTCTCCGTGAGCATAAAATGAGAACTGGACTGTAAAGAACTTAGGCAATCCAATATATGCTGTACTTTTGCGTATACGTAGGATGAATTTTCAATACTAGAGTAGAATTAGGGTGCAACTTTTTAACATAGGGTGCTCAAAATGCAAAGATAAATAATTCTAAGTTGCTTCTCAGGCATAGTTCACATGTTATTCATAAAGGGTATAGTTGGAGGAAGTTGGGACTCAGTGGAAAGCAAATTGCGCTGCCAAGTACTGACGACTGGAGAAACGTTTCTGCATTTCAGGAAGAGCAGAAAGCTTATGTTCCTCTCTCTCTCTCTCTCTCTCTCTCTCTCTCTCTCTCTCTCTCTCTCTCTCTCTTCCCCCCTCTAGACAACAGACATTCCCTTGGAATCACTTGCTCCCCCTGCACCTAAAGAGAACTTGGTGGATGAAGCGCCTCAACCAAAGGGATCCAAGGTTGGACCGGCACTATTGTGATTGTTAGAAAGGGAAAACGAGTGTTTAAAGTTTTCTTTGTGGGGCTGGAGAGAGAGCACAGCGGGTAGGGCGTTTGCCTTGCACGCGGCCAGACCTGGGTTCGATTCCCAGCATCCCATATGGTCCTCTGAGCACTGCCAGGAGTAACTCCTAAGTGCAGAGCCAGGAGTAACCCCTGCGCATCGCCGGGTGTGACCCAAAAGGAAAAAAAATAAAGTTTTCTTTGTATGGGGGCCACGCCCCACAGTGCTCAGATGTTACTTCTGGCTCTGGAATAAAACTTGAGGCTTTCTCCAGGTCTTGTTTTCTCTGATCTTCCTCAGTGGCGGCGGGTGGGATGGGGCTGGGCTGGGCTCACTAGGCAATGCTCAGGGTCTACACTCTTGGCTGGGCTCCCAGGAGACCTTGTAGGGCCAGAGACCCAGGCCAGCATCCCTGCACGGACTCCAGCCTGTTGGTCACTCTGGTCATTTCTCGCTTTTACCTCCTGCATGAAACGATCTCAGTACAGTGACACTCTCTCCCCAACCCTCCTCAGGTTCATTCATTCCTAGAAGGGGGATTGCATTCCTGTTCCCACCTCTTCTTCCTGTTGATGCTGTCGTTGCTGTAACTGGGGTTACGCAGGCTTGGGGTGGTGCCCTTGCTCCTTGCGGCGGCATTTATTCTGTTAGTTGTGGGGTTCTCACACACTTTCCACAGTGGGCATCTGCCAGGGTCATTCTGGCTACAAGTGGTGGCACTGGGCATTGAACTCATGGCTGCACGAGATAGATTTGTCAGCTCCTGGTCCATCTCCAAGCCCCCCTAACAGTGTGGTTTTTTTTTAAATTATTTTTGATTTTTGAACCACACCTGGCGGTGTTCAGGGTTTACTTCTGGCTCTGCGCTCAGGAATTACTTCTGGCAAAGCAAAAGGGACCAGGGCTAGAGTGAATAGTGCAGTGGGTAGGGCATTTGCCTTGCATGCGGCCGACCCGGGTTTGATTCCCAGCATCCCATATGGTTCCCTGAGCACTGCCAGGAGTAATTCCTGAGTGCATGAGCCAGGAGTAACCCCTGTGCATCGCCGGGTGTAACCCAAAATGCAAACAGGAAAAAGCACAAGGGACCATATACGGGGTCCTGGAGATTGAGCCTGGGTATGTCACGTGCAAGGCAGAAGTCCCTACCGTGATGTTTACTGAGCACTTGCACTGTTTGACTGGCTTCTATAAAAGCTCAACAGCTGATTTTCTGCAGTTACTTTTAGAATGATGAGGGGTTTTCTTCATCAGGCATGGCGGTATGACTACGGGTCTGACACTTTGTCTTAAATTAGTAACCCAACTCTTGTTCTGATGTTTCAGGATGAAGAACTCAGGCAAGTTCCACCCGTTACATCACCGTCCATAACATCATCTGTCACTCTTTCATTACCTAAAGAATCCATCACTTCTGCTAAGGAAGCTGTAAGTGTCTGAAAGGAGGGTGAGAGGCACAGGAGAGAGAGAACCCTTTCTCTCGTTTTTTGTTTTGGGGCTACATCGGGTGGTTGCTCAGGGGTTACTTCTCACTCTGTGCTCAGGGGTTACTTCTGGCAGGTTCAGGGGACCACTTGGGATGCTGGGGATGGAACCCAGGCTGGCCACACGAAGGCAAACACCCTACCTGCTGTACTATCACTCCAGCCCTTCTCTAGTTATTTATTTATTTATTTATTTATTTGCTTTTTGGATCACACCTGCCGATGCACAGGGGTTACTCCTGGCTCTGCACTCAGGAGTTACTCCTGGCGGTGCTCAGGGGACCATATGGGATGCTGGGAATCGAACCCGGGTCGGCTGTGTGCAAGGCAAACACCCTACCTGCTGTGCTATCTCTCCAGCCCTTCTCTAGTTATTTATTTATTTATTTATTTATTTATTTGCTTTTTGGATCACACCTGCCGATGCACAGGGGTTACTCCTGGCTCTGCACTCAGGAGTTACTCCTGGCGGTGCTCAGGGGACCATATGGGATGCTGGGAATCGAACCCGGGTCGGCCACGTGCAAGGCAAACGCCCTACCTGCTGTGCTCTCTCTCCAGCCCCTCCTCTAGTTATTTTTAAGGGCGGTAGGAATCTGGAATTGAAATTCTTGCTAACCACCGCGGAGTTCTTCCTGCCATCCGAACAGGAAGTTGTAGGCTGAACTTTAGTCATAACCAGATTTTAAAAGCTATCCAAAAGTGAAAAATAAATTTAATCAATGTCATCGTGAATCAGGACTAAACAAGTAATCTCTAGAAGCTAATTACCATATAGGCAAATTATTATTTTTTTTTTTTTGGTGCCAGATGGAAATGGTTCCCATATGTGGTATATTTTACACAGGCATCTTGATCAGGAAACGCTAGAAAGACAGCAACTCCAATCCTTAGGAGAGTTGCATATAAGGAATGACTTATCTACCCACCATTCCCATTTGGATGGAGCAATGTGAGCTCACAAAGCGTATATGACACAAAGAGAGAGTGGGGCGGGGCCTGGGCCTTGCCCTGCTGGGAGGGCAAGGCAGCTGTGTACAGCTCCATGGGGTGTGTGTGTGTGTGTGTGTGTGGTGAATGACGAGGGGGTCTTCTTCATTAGGTAAATGCTAAATGCAGATCTGAGTCTCGTTATAACTAAAGAACACAGAGGGCCCCTGACCCTGAGAAGCCACACACCTAGAGCAGTGCTGAGGGTCTAACACGGCCTTATGTTTTCTCCGGGACCCTCCAGGCCACGTCACACAAGAGAGCCCGGAACCGCAAGGCTGATTCCAAAGGCACCTAAGGTCTGCTGGAGGGCAATGTGGTCTCTTCACCCACCTGTGCTGAAGCAGTGAGAGCCGGAAAGGACCTGGCAGCTACGACTGTGTCTGGTTGGAGGTAGAGGACCTGCTGCTCAGCCCCTGGAGCCAATTGGTTGAGGCAAACTATTGCAGATGTTATCATCAGTGAGAGCAAGTGCAGACCACTTAGAAAAGTCTGTCGTTATGTCCTCTTCACTAAACTTTCTGTAAAGCCCGCCCCTGTTGTTTTTCGAACAGTTCAGAACATATGTAGGTGAATGCCCTCTTTCCCCCTTGGTTTCGGGTCACACTCAGTGGTCGGGGACCACATGGGGTGCCAGGGATTGAACCAGGGTTGGCCACATCAAGGCAAATGCCTTAACCCCTGTGTTGTCTCTCTGGCCTTTCAAGACGATTTATTTATTTTTGTCTAATGGAAATCAGCTTGTTGCCTCAGATACTTCTGCCTCACGTGGCTTGGCAAGGCCTGTAAGAACATGGAAATGCCAAAAACCAGTATGAGAGCCCTGAACAGCTCAGCGACCCACCCTAGAAAACAAAGTGCCTTATGAGACAGAACGGAAGTACATACTCCCCAGCAAAGGTCTTTCTGGATACAAAGAAAACGTTTCTGGGAGGAGAAATGGAGAGCAAAAAGACTGGCAATCACAGACGTCCCCCCTCCGGGGCCCGCAGAGGCTCCGGGAATCTGGGAGTCTGCCACCACGGAGCATATGGCTTTCATTAGCCTCATTTTCCTAGGAAACATCATTAAGGATTTAAGACTTAACCGTTTGTTTGTGCTGGGTGTGTGTTTTCTGGTCTGTTTGTCTTTCACAAACAAGACTATATGTTAGTCATAGAGATTATTAAGTCTAATATAATTCCTGTGCTACCCAATAACAAGTGTTATATTCGGATATTTATCCTGGGTATTTTCGGTACTGTCAATACTGCAAAGGAAAACAAACCCTTACGAGAATAGATTGCGGGACTGCTGACCAACGTTCCCCCTCCAGCAGCCCTTTGCGGGGAGGAGGGCTGGGGACTGTGGTTGATGAAGTTTCTTTCTAGACTGAAAGCTAGAAGGGAGTCAACTTAAACCTAGGAACATGCAAGTCTCCCTGTCTGGGTCGCGGAGAGGGGGGAATGCCATTAGCACTCTGTAGCAAGGATGTGCACTTTTGGCCACCGCCCCCACAGGACAGGCCCCCTCCATGTCCAGTGAAGGACTCCTGCCCCTCAAGAATGAGGAGTCCCGGTCTGGAGCATCCTGTGGATTCTGCCATGGGCCTCGCATGGTGATTCACAATAAATCTTCCCATTTTGAAAATGATGGGTGTTTATTTTAATTAGTTCACATTTCAAAGTGTTGAATGTGGGAAAGGGATTAGCTAGCTAACTTGCTCCATCCTGTTCTACAGAATGATTCATATATATGTGTGTGTGTGTACCACTGGGCAGTTTTTTTTTTTTTTGAGGGACCTCCCAAACCAGGCTAAGGAATGCTGAAGGCCAGTTCTGTTGATGCTTGGCCTGACCAGGATGAGTCAAAAAGGTCCAAGGATGTGGGACCTGCAGTGGCTGGTTTGGTGGTGCTGCGGACGGAGGCTGGGCCAGGTGCTCTCTCCTGTGTCCCTGCCCCACGGTTCACTCCTGAGTAGAAACAGGCAGATGGCGATGCCCCTAGTCACCTGAGACCCACTTAGCCTTCGTCTGTTTCTGCCGCCTGGACGTAATGAACGTAATGAAATCACCTGTTCACCTCTCCTCATTCTCCCATGAGTTTTTTTTTCCTTTTTTGGTCACACTCAGCAGTTCTCAGGGGTTACTCCTGACTCTGCATTCAGGAATTACTCCTGGCTGTGCTTGGGGTACCATAGGGGATGCCGGGCATCGAACCCGGGTCAGCCGCATGCAAGGAAAACACCCTACTTGCTGTGCTGTATCTTCGGCCTCTAGCTCACGAGCTCTGGAAGGTGCTTCTTGTGTGACACTTAGTGTTTGGCTATAGGTTCCGATGTTAGATCTAGCCTAGATGAAGCCCCGCCAGAGGGGTCCTGATTAATTACTGGTGTCAACTCAGGTGGGCTGTAGTGACTTACTGACAACGTCAAGATCCCCCTGAGGTGACTCACTGGCCGATTCCAAGCTACAGTGTCACTGAACCCCATCAAGCTGGGAAGAGCAGGACATTCAGCGGGTCCCAGCAGTACACAGACGCTTGACCCTTGCTGAGTTTTTAGAAACAGGCCTTCGCAGGGGCATGTCCATGAGATGGAACACCCCCATGGCAGTGAAGTGCCCGCTGAGACAGCTGCCCCCACACTGGGCCTGCCTACCCTCTCCTTGGTCTTGCCATGAGCGTGAAAGGGTGGACCAAGTTGTTCCAAAGCCATCCCCTCCCCCCGTGGTGTAACGGGGCATATAGAACACCCCAGCCGTGCCACACGTTGCTCAATCTCACTGGATGTTGTTTTCTGGGCATTTTCTAAAACCGAGTCTCGGTGGTGTGGAGCCTGGCCAGTGTCCCCTACACCGAGGGCTCTGCTCCAGTAGTGAGGTGTCGATGACATTCAAGGGCCTGCACTGGGTGCCAGGTCTAATTCTGTACTTGTCATAGTGACTCACTCCTGAGTCACTGGTGAGGCAGATGCATCTGCTATAATGCTAAGACCTAACCTTAAACTGTCAGCACCAGTTTCTACCTGTAAGAAAGTCAGATTCAGGAGGATTTCGAAGCCTCATGACTGGGACATCAACTTCCGGCAGTGAGACTGTGGCCCACTGGCTCCCCCCAGTGGTGGCCTCTGGGGACAGCGACTTCACTGTCACTGATAGATTGCTTGTTTTCCTCAGAGGTTCAATCTTACTTACCTGAGATCAATAAGTTACATTAGCAGTCTCCAGGGACTGATGATCCCCGCCCCCCCGGGCAATTAGGAAAGGCAGTATCGATCACTGCGGTGGCAGGCACTAATCTTTTAACCCTTGGGCCATGAGGCAGATTCGGTGCCTTAACAACAGAAATGTCTTCATTAGATAAAGCGGATTCCTTTTCTCAGGAGACCTGTCTGGTCATCTAAGTGAAATGGCCATTTCATTTTCTCTCAGGTCAATTTCACTAGCTCTTATTTGACAGCCAGCTCCATCTCTGGGGAACTCTGGGAGTGATTTGAGCCGTAACAGCAGAGATATGCTCGCATCCCAACAGCAACCTGTGGGAACCAGCACGTCCCCCCGACCTGTGGGAACAGCACATCCCAGGCCCTGACGGGCCCCCGTGCGTGCCTCCAGGTGCCACCACCTGCTCGCAAGCACCACACTGCTTTCCAGCAGTGCACCGCAGGGAGGAGGCGCGTCACGATTTTACAACAAAAGACACTTGCTTGTAAGTAAGGTCTCAAAGCAAAGGTTTTAAGAGCTGAAATTCATTTCCTGGCTCTGTTCACCGAACGATACCTTCGTTAAACATAAAACACAAACTGTAATATGTTGACAGTCGCATATTTACATACACATGAAGGACAAGCGGGAATTTCACAATAACGGCCAACACCACAGCTGCTAAAAAAATAACTCGCCTCGGCAGGAAATCTAAAGCAGCAACCCCATCCTCCTACGGAGAACAAGCCATCTTGACCTTTCTTTTGCATTTGGCAGTGATCTGGCAAAAAAAAAAAAAGTCTGTTTCATCACGGAAACTGTGTAGGTTGAACACAAACGAAGGTTCCGTGGGGCCGGGACAGGCGAGGCGAGTCCAGCAGGAGCCGGCTGGTGGCAGAGGAAGATTTCCAAGCAGCCCCCAAACAAACATTCAGAGCACTTCCCCCTATCCTGAGGGACAGGGTGGAGCTTGAATCCGGAGGCTGACAGACAGGGTGCCAAAAATCCAGGATGGTCCCAACCAATGCAGCCTGGGTGCAGGGAGAAAGAACCACATGGGGAAGAGCGCGGGCAGATCAGCCAGGAAGCACCCAGCCAGGGACCCCAATACCGTCTTGGGGCAAGTTTTCCCTCCCAGAGCAGCACAGACAGACGCCCACACCCCACAGACGTGTGGCCACTCTCCGGCTCTGTTCCCCAGGCTCTTGATGGACGATCTCTAGTTTTGCTCAAGCCCTCGGCTATTCCGAGGGAGTCCCCTCGGCTCCCCCGGGAACCGATCTGTGGTTGATGGCTGCAGGCAGGAGGTCCTGCCCTGCCTCCCCACGCCCTCGCGCCCAGGCCTCGGGGCCAGACCTCAGAGGAAGGGGTTAGGAGCAAGTCACAGAGCGGAGTGTGGCCCCTCAGACAGACACAGCCCAGGGGTTCCCGAGCCGCCCTCCTTTGAATGGACACGCTCTCCCTTGTCACACAGCCCATATAAAAATGAAGCAGCAGCAATTTTTATTGAGGGACCTAAAATGAAAATAGGTTTAGAACATAATTTAAAAAAATAAAACAGCAAAAGTAGCAAAAAATATATGACCTTTTTAAAAACATTTTCCTTTTTTTTTTTTTGCTTTTTTTTCTTTGTTTTTTTTTTTAATATATAGCAACTGATGCCTCCTCCCAGCCACCAGGAGCATCTTACCCAGTGGGTAAATTTCTGGTAACGACCCTTTTAGAAAGACATGTAAATATATACTCAGATTTATACACTTTGTGTTTTCTTCATAGCTATATACAAAGCCCCCAGTCCGGGCTGGGCCCCGGGGCCGCCAGGCTACTCCTGCTCTTTGCTGCCCTACCCTCCGCTACCGGCCATTTGGTCAGCAAAGCAAATTAGTATCAGAATGAAGAAGCCCACGGCACCGTTAGTCTGGGGCAGAGGTCGCCTCCCCGGCCCCCACTGCCGTGACCAAGCCCCAGGGGCTTCTGACCGGGGCCAAGCGGGCAGAGCTCACCCACAGGCTCTGCGGGCAGTGCCAGGGGGCGAGGCTGGGGCGTCTTGGTCCAACATCTGGCAGGGATGGAGGTGGCCGCCGGCCAGGGCCGGCCTCTGCGTATCTCAGGGGAGGGGGCTGGGGCGGGGTGAAGGCGGGCCACGGGCCGGGAGGCGGCTGAGGGTCCGGATGATGGGGATGGGGCACGGCTCAGCGTCGTTTGAGTCCGCCGTTGGCAAGCTGGGCGGGGTGCCGGGGCAGGCAGGGCTCCTCGGGCAGCGGCTCATGCGAGAAGACGGAGTCCTCCCCCGAGGAGCAGGTGGAGCTGCGGGTGTCGGGGAAGCCGGGGGAGTACTGGTCCAGGGGCACTGACAGGTCCAGATACTCCTGTGGGGGGAGACAGAGCACAGTGCCAGGCCCGCAACCCTGGGGCCGGGTGGGCAGCAGGCAGGCGGGCGGGCGGGCGGGCGCCTCACCTGGTTGGACGTCAAGGCCACGATGCGGTCCAGGTCCTCCACCAGCTGCTTGAAGGTGGGTCTCTGCGAGGGCACTGCGTGCCAGCAGTCCCGCATCATCATGTACCTGTGTGAGGGGCGGGACAGCTCTTCACCCCGCCCACCGGCTCCCGCTCATCCCAGGGACGCGGAACCACCCACACTGAATCCTGAAGGTCCCGGACTGAGCCCTCCGCCTGCTCTCAGGCTGCCCCCACAGGGCCCGGGATGGTGCAGAATGGGCTGCATGCAGGCACCCGAATCCCTGGACTCTCTCGGCCCGACTTCAGATACTACTGCGGGAACAGCTTACAGCCGAGTAATGCTCGTCCTCAAGCTTGGCTGAGCCGCTGCCCAGTGCCCTGGCCCTCCTCACCGCCGATCCCAGCCCCCCCGCCCGGCCACTGTGGTCAGCTGTCCAGGCTTCACGGGCCTCCTGCTTGCTTACAGCTCATTCGTGCAGTTACTGGGCTTGTCCATCCGATGACCCTCCTTCAGCAGCTTGAACAGCTCCTCCACAGGCACGCCAGGGTAAGGAGAGCCGCCCAGAGTGAAGATCTCCCACAGGAGCACCCCGAACGACCACCTGTGGGCAAGGCAGTCAGGCCGCGGGCAAAGGCAGGAGAGGACCCAGGTCAGTGGCGTGCACAGCGGGCGCCCGCCCTGCTCTGCCTACTGCGGCTCCAGCCTCTTGACACCAAGTGGACTGACGCCTGCCTGTCCACGGACCCAGGCTGAGAATCACTGACCTGTGGTCCCTCCCCCCCTCCACAAGCCCATCCGTCGTCGTCGTCTTCTTTTTTTTTTTTCTTTTTGGGTCACACCTGGCGACGCACAGGGGTTACTCTTGGCTCGTGCACTCAGGAATTACCCCTGGCAGTGCTCAGGGGACCATATGGGATGCTGGGAATCGAACCTTGGTCAGCCATTTGCAAGGAAAATGCCCTACCAGCTGTACTGTTGTGTCAGCCCCTCGTCAGTCTTCTTGACCCTATGAACCTTTCGTTCTAATGGGACAGTCTGCCCAAGCCGCAGGGGCGCCGGCTCCCCTCCTTGGGACTCACACGTCGCTCTGGTGGGTGTAGATTCGGTCAAACAGGGCCTCGGGTGCCATCCACTTCACCGGCAGTCGGCCCTGCGAGGGGGTCAGAGCAGAAGACTGAGGGGACAGGCGAGAGCGGCCCGTCTCACACCCTGGGCTGGACCACGTGGTGACCCGGCCCGCGGCATGACACCGGCACTCACATTGGTTGTCTTCTTGTAGTAGTCGATGTGGTGGATGTCCCGAGCCAGGCCGAAGTCCGCGATCTTCATCACGTTGTCCTCAGTCACGAGGACATTCCTGGCAGCCAGGTCCCGGTGGATGCACTGTGGGCGGGGAGGAGAGGCCAGTGGGCAAGGGGCGAGCGGCTGGGAAGGACGCACCACCACCAGCCGGACTGCCGCCCCACTCCAGCTCCAGAACGTTCCACGAGGGTGCCAGTCGCCTCCATTTCCTGCCCAGTTCCTTCGATGCCTCCAGGCTGGGCTGGAGCGACAGTCCAGCATGGAAGAGGCTTGCCTCTCACGAGGCCAAGCCAGGCTTGAACCCCAGCGCCGCTGCGGTCCCAGAGCCCACCAGGAGTGACCCCTGAGGTAGAACCAGGAGGAAGTCCTGTGCACCGCTGAGTGTTGGCTGCCCCCTCCCCAAATACCTCCAGCGGCCGGCCCTGCGTCGCTCCCCACGCACCTGAAGGCCCAGCCTTTGTGCCAGTGCCGTTTCAGGGTACGCCCCGAGGGTCCCCACCCTGAGTCTCGAAGGACTCCACGCCCAGAACCACTCTGCAGCCCGGCCGGCACCAGGAGCCACGAGGCACTGAGTGGCCCGGCCCTACCCCCCAGAAGTCTGAGGAGGGCACTGTGGGCCGCAGGGCTCCTCACCTTCTTGGAGGCCAGATACTCCATGCCCCGGGCCACCTGATAGGCACAGGACACCAGGTCCTTGGAGGACAGCTGTTCCTCAGGGTCGTGGCTGGGGTTGTAGCAGTACTCAAGCCCTGGGGGCCTGCGGGCCTGCAGGTACTCTCGGAGGTTGCCCTTGGAGGCGTATTCCACGATGACATACAGAGGGCCTAGGGCCAGGGGTGGGAGAGGTCAATGGGGCAAGGCTTAGCCCACGCACCAAGCACCAAGTACTACCCGAGACCTCCACCACCCCTCTAGACAGCCCAGGGCGGGCCAGTCCACTGCCCGCAGAAAATCAAGGCAGTAATTCTCCCTGGCATGGTCTGGAAAGTTCCCACGAAAAGGGGAAGGGAAGGGCCTTCCTGGGAAGCAGGACTGCTCACGTTGCATGAGACTCAGTGCCCAGGCAGGAAACACAGCCCTGCTCTCGCCACACCCTCCCAGGCCTCCCCACGAATGGTCTGTGATACCCACTTGCTACACTTCTTTCTGTGACACACGTTGGCATTGAGGGAGGCCCAGGTGCCCAGAGAGGGCCGGGAACCCCCTTGTCGTACTTACCGTCCTGCGTGCAGGCGCCCAGGAGATTGATGATGTTCTTGTGCTTCCCAATCATCTTCATCATCTCCATTTCCGAGATGAGGTCGGACAGGTCCTTCTCGGTGGCATCCGCTTTGCACAGACCAGAGCATGCGTTGAGGGTCAGCTACTTCGGAAGGGCGGCTGATGTGGCCGCCCAGAGGGGGAGGGGAGCAGCCTGTGCACCCCCCCCCCCAGCTGCCTGGCCGGCACCCCTTTTTCGCATCCAAGTGTATTTCCCCTTCCCTCATCTAAGAGCCAGCGTTGCCACAAGCTAGCCAGAAATGGGGCCGCGGGAAGGAAACCAAAACGTGGGGACCAGAGACACCCAACTTCGAGGCAGGCTGGCCAGGGAAGGGGTCGTGCTTTTGCAGGACAGAAACATCACTTACATTTCAACATCTTCACGGCTACTTTGGTCACGCGGTTGGGCTTGTCCTTGTCCAGCCCAATGGCCTCAGCCAGCACCACCTGCCCGAAGCAGCCTTCTCCCAGGGGCTTGCCTAAGACCAGTCTGGGGGAAACGAGAGGGGTGAGAGTCGGGCTGGCGCCAGGCAGGCCCCCGAGGACACCCGCCCCTGCTGCTCTGGACTCCACCTGCCCGGGGGGCACAAAGTGGGTGGGGCTGTTTCTGCCTGCCCCAGCTGGCCGGTGGCCACACACAGAGCCACATGCCAGCTTCCACTGAGAAACCCCAGCACTGACCTGTCTCGGGGCAGCTCCCAGCGGGGGTCCTCCGGAAGCTCATACTCGGAGACCCCAGCCAGCATGGGGGTTCCGCTGGAGGACAGCCGCGAGGGCCGAACCAGCAGGACCCCGGAGTTCATGGAGGCACTGGAGTCCGCTGACACCTACAGGAAGAGTGGGGTCACCCTTCGAGCAGGGATGGAGGGGTGGCAGCGGGGGCCGCCTCCAAGCCTGAGGCTGCTGTGTGGGCCATCACTGAGATTCCTCTAGATGTCGGTCGGCGGCAGGAGACCGCCAGGGCTGAGCAGAGCTAAGCTCTAAGCCAGATCGATTCACCAGCCTTGCGCTCTCCGGAGCCCTAAGCCACTCACCTTGGACAGACAGACACGCGCCACAGACGGTGCTTCCTTCATGTGAAGCCCGCCTCAGGCCACAGAGGCCACGAAGCCCTTGGCCCCCTAAGCCCTCTCTAGAACACACTCCTCTGGTTCTTTTTTTTTTTTTTTTTTGCCTTTTGGTCACACCCAGCGATGCACGGGGGTTACTCCTGGTTCATGCACTCAGGAATTACTCCTGGCCGTGCTTGGGGGACCATATGGGATGGTGGGAATCGAACCCGGGTCGGCCGCGTGCAAGGCAAACGCCCTACCCGCAGTGCTATCACTCCAGCCCCTCCTCTGGTTCTTTACAATATAAAGACTCTTGCCCTAGTCTGGGAAGCCCTCGGCCCCCTACGCAGTCCCTGGGGCCAGCACAGTTCTGCGTGGCCCCCTCCTGCCCCTGGTTTCCGGTATAAGAGGGAGAGAGGAACAAGGCAAACAGGCACCGAGGCCCCAGGCCCCTGCAGCAGCGCTGCACCTCACACACAGCCGTACACGTGCCCAGTGAGGAGTGCGGGGTGCCTGTGGGTCCAGGGGTGGGGGGCTGGGGGGGCCTCCAGGGAACCTGAGCTCACCCCACACCCCCAAGGCAGCACAGGCGGAGTCTGCGGCCCGGGGAGGGAAGGCGTGCGAATCCCCCATCTACTTTCTGTTACCTGTCTGCGCAGAGGGATGCTCTTGGCCAGCTTGTGCACGGCCATCTGGCTGTGGAAGTCGCTCTTCTTGGTGCCGCTCTTCATCTTGTAGATGATGGCGGAGCCCGCCATGCAGGAGATGAGGAAGGCGCCCGTGCAGTAGATGATGATCTCCAGGTAAAAAGGCGAGGCCATCACTGCCGGTCTGTCATCCAGGGCTGAGTCGGCGTGAACAGGGCGTTAGGGGGGCTCAGGGGCCCCGTCCAGCAAGGCCGGCCCCACCGGGCACTTCCCTGGGGCACCAGCACCGAGCAGGTTCCTCCTTAGGGAGGGGGTCCCGCATGGTGGGGGGCGCATCTGCGCCTTCGGAGGCGCTCGGAGGGGCTGTGCTGTGTGGGAGGGACGGGACAGCCTAGCGCCCCCCCACCCCACCCCGGACCCTGTATGCAGGGCCCTGCTGAAGCCCACCGACAAGCCTCCAGTTCTCGCAGGAAGGCGGGCAGGACGGGGACGGTGCCACTCGGGGTTCTGTGACACCCGGCAACCTGAGTGAGGGCAGGGAGAGCGGCCAGCCTGTGTCACTTGTATCAGGCCTGACAGGCGGGCAGAACTGACTGGACACACCCAACAGCCCCGGACTTTCCCCCTCTCCCCCACAGACCAAAGAGGAACACGGAACTGTGTGCTCCCTTCCCGAGCCCCAGGGAACAGCCCCCACCCCGACCCTCTGGCAAGGAAACCAGCCGAGGGCGCCACCCAGGGACCTCCCAGGGAAGGCCGGGCCCAGGCCGAACTCCCTGAGACCGAGAGGGCAGAGACAACGAGCAGGGCTTCTGTTTGTCCCCCTTCCCCAGTGACGACGAGCACGCACGGACAGACAGCGACAGGGACACACAAAGAGCGCTTCCCGGCCCCCCAGCGAGGGGCCCAGCCTGGGGCAGGCGGGCAGCAGAGCAGAGAGGGCAGGGACAGCAGCCCCGAGCAGCACCCACACCCAGCCCACCACCTGCAGGCTCCTTCCTCCGCGGGCGTGACGGATGGCACCCCACCCCGAGGGGGCCCCGGGACCAGCCCATCTCGCTTAAAGCAGCTCCAGGTCTCTTGTTTGGGCGGAATCTCCCCATCTAAAAATAGACGCTGGAGCAGGGGTGGAGGGTGGGCGGGCCTGGCTCCCAGCAAGGCCCCTTTGGGCTTGTGTTCGGCTAGAGGCGGGGGACATGCCCTGCCTGGGACTCTGGGGGCATCCTGGCCGCGGGTGGAAGGAGCCTGTCCTGAAGGAGCCGAGCGGCAGGTTAACACCAGACCCCGGCATGCATCCCACGGGCCGAGGGGCGAGCCGGCTGCGTGGGCCACCCGAGGGCTGCGGTCGTCGCCCCCCGCCCTGCGATGCATGTTCCCCCCGTGCCCGTGCGAGGGCGGGACGAGAGGAGAAGAGCAGTGTATACCTTCCAGAACGGTCAGCCATGCAGAGTGATGGGACAGTCCGATAGAGTTACCCGCCAAGCACGTATACTCCCCCGCGTCCTCAAAGGAGACATTCCTTAAGTGAAGCACCTCCATCTCCTTGTCGGTGGTATTAACTCCGGCAGTCTAGAAAGAGACAACGGAAGCCGATGGGCCAGCGCGGGGGAGCGACGCCTCGGGACGCGGAGAGAGAGGGAACACACGAGCCAGCGAGGAGGAGGAGGAGTCGGGTGGGAAACCAGAGAGGAGAGACGCTCCCGCGGCTCCGGGCCACGACGGACACACAGACACCACCAGGCAGCAAGCCCTGTTAGAGGAAGAGAGTGAGGCCCCGGGGGCCCCGCCTGCGCCGCCGTTACGACCCTTCACCACACGCCGGCAGCCCCGGCCCATCAAGCATGCGGGCGCGACAGCATGGAGAAATGGGGCCCGGCGGGGGGCGCTGCTTGGTTTCAGGCGAGGAAGGGAGCGGGCACCGGGGGTGGGGTGGCACACACGCCGGGACACAGAGAGGCACGGGGCAGACACCAACGGTCCCGAACCAAAGCAGCCGCCCGGGCCGGGCATTTTTCCATGGCTCTGGACACGAGGAACACAGCAGATCCACAGGGAGAGTCCGGCGCCGGCGCCCCGCCTGCCCCGCAGCTCGGGAGGGGCCTCCGTCAGAACCCCCAGCAGGGCCCGTCCGACTCCCCGTTACCTGCGGCCACAGGTCTGGTGACAGTGAGCCACGCAGACTGGTGAGCTTCACCAATGTAATTGGAAACCTTACACACATACTCCCCGCTCTGGGCCTCTGTGACATTGAGCAGGGTCAGCACCTCCGCATCCGAGCTATTAGTCCCCGAATGCTGGAACAGACCAACGGCACCCAGTCAGTCGGCGGGACCCTGGACGGCTGCACCTTGCGCCCTGGAGCCTCAGGGCCGGGAGACGGGCGCGGGTGAGACGTGGGCGTCCCGCTCTGAGCGCGGCAGAACGAGTCGGACTTGAACCACCCGACACAGAGACAGGAGATCAGCTTTCAAGGACAGGGCGTGGCCACCGCCCCCGTCCAGCGGCGCTGCCCCCGCGCACCTCAACTTCGGAAGGAGAGGGACGGGCAGTAAATCTCGGGGGCAGTCGCCCAGGGGAGGATGCACCCTAATGCTGGGACCGGGAGGTAAACTACTTTCCCAGCTTCTGTGACTTCCTGCTGCAAGGTCCACGGGTGAGCTGGGCAATTACCTTCCCTGGATTAATGGAGCATTCAGGGGCAACACAGTCTGGGAGCGAGAGGAAAGAGGAAGAGAATGCCATTACTCCTGACACCGCTTAGAATTTATCGGTGGCATTTGCTTTTCTAGCTCGGCTGATGCTCTCTGCCCTTCTCATCCGTCCCACCTGCCGCAGAGACTCCGGAAACGGCGAGAACGGCAACTGCCTGCCGGAGAGGCTTCCGGGAGATGGGAAAGCAGGGGCTGCAGTGCCGCCCCCCAGGCCCCACCAAATTCAACCCAAAGTGCTTTAGCAACCAACACTGTCCACTGCCCCCATGGCCCCTGCCCGCCTCACAGCCCCACTGCGCCCAGCCACTGGCCGTGGGGAACTGGTCCAGTTCCTGGTGGACAGAAAAGTACAGAGCACGTGCTCTGTCCAGGACACACCTGCCCCAGCACCGGGGACTCTGAGCACTGGCCCCTCCCCAGCACCTGGCTGTGGAGACCGGGTCCGGGATTACCTTCAGGATCTGGACATACGGCAGGTTGTCCGGGCCAATCTTACTCCCATTCACCTCGATGTGCTTCAGCCACTGGATGTGGGGCTGCGGGTCGCTGTAAACCTTACACATGAACTCCACGTTGCTGCCCAGGGCCACTGTCTTATTGGCAGGCAGGCCTGCCTGCAGGATGGGCCGGTGCGGGGACCGCTCTGTAGGGGCAGGGAGACGAGCGGATCAGCCAGCCCCGTGGGGCCTGTTCTGGTCGGGACACACCAGGCGCCTATCCCAAGACCATGGGAGACGAGTGCGCCACCCCCCGTGGCTGGCCCTGTGGCAGGCAGGGCCTCTACTGGGGTCCGGGCCTTCGAGCCTCAAGGTGAAGCTTCCCTATGGAGAGGCCATAGGGGTCGTCAGGCTTTAGTGAGAAGCTACAGACGGGCAGCTCCTAACCTCAGCACAGCCTGGGCTTCTCACCTGGAGACCGTCTTTTAGACGCCCCCGCAGGGCTGAGTGCAGACCCAGGAGTGTCAGGAGCCCCTTAGAAATGCCGAATCTGGGGCTGGAGTGATAGCACAGCGGGAGGGGCATCTGCCTTCACGCGGCCAACCCGAGTTCAATTCCCAGCATCCCATATGGTCCTCTGAGCACTGCCAGGAGTAATTCCTGAGTGCAGAGCCAGGAGTAACCCCTATGCACCATTGGGTATAACCATCCCCCCCCCCCCCATAAAAAAGAAAAGCCAAATCTTTAGAGATGCTTCTTGGCCTCCTGGACCACACGGTTCCTCTCTGGACCATGGCCTTGGACCAAGACAGAACGTCGGCTAGGAAACAAGGCCTTTGGACCACGATGAGAGTGTAAGACTCAGACCACTGAGGGGATGGCTATGGTCGGGCACCCGGAGTAGGGGGCTCCTCTGTGGAGGGGGAGTAATAGCAGGGTGTGGAGGGAGGAGAATGGTAGGTGGGGGAATTATGGCTCCCTGCAATACTACACTGACGGCCAGGAAGGAGCAAGCACCTTCATGCAAAGAACGAGGGGAGGGGGAAAGACAGAAGGGTCAAAGGAGGAGGATGGGGAAGGCCCTCAGGAGCCGGCCAGGCCCCTCCCGCAGCCGCTGCTGGGCGCGGGTCCCTCCCTGGCCCCCTCTGAGTCTCACCCACAACGTCGAGCTGGTAGGTGTGGTTGATGCTGCCGTATTCGTTCTCCACGATGCAGGTGTAGTTGCCCTTATCCGAGGGCACCACGGAATCCATGATGATGCTCCAGGTGGCGTATCGGACCTGAGGGGGACATGCCAACGGGGCTCTGCTGAGGGTCCGAGAATTGAGCGAGGCCACTGGCGCCGAGTAGTCCTGACCCCCCCAGCCCAGCATCAGGGAGGCCAGCCCGGAGGAGGCGCTGCCGGCACACCCCCTGAAAGAAGCGTGTAAGCAAGACGGCAGATCGGGGTGAGCTCTGCCCGCCGGGCCACTGTCACCCGGGGAGAGTGTTTCTGCACCCGGACACACACTCCGTGCCCTGGGCGGGAATAGCACAGTCCAGCTGTCTCTCCACCTGACGGTCCTCACCAGGGCCCGGAGCAACACACGGACTAGGACACCTGCTGGGCACACAGGCGGCCCTGGGTCAGTCCCTCCACCCCCCTGCCCCAATCATTCCGCCCAGAGTGTGCCCCATACACACCCAGGTGGCCCCCAAACAAACACCCAACCACAACCACGACGCCTGTCTCTCTGCTAAAGCCCGTCAGCCTGCTTTACAGCAGTGGACAGACACTCTCCTCTCAGACTAAAAAGTACTAAGAGGTGCTTGCTTAAGTGACACAGGAGACCACAAAAAAAGGCGATGCCTTCTGGGTACTTGTATTTCATTTTCAATGGTTCCAATTTTTAAAATTAGACTCTGCCTTTTTCCTAGACACCGGCTGAAGAGGACTGGCTGTCTCTGAGCAGACGCGCTACAGGCTGGGGTCACCATGCCCCTGCGTGGCCAAGCCTCCACCCTCTCTCCATTGGGGGCTTGGCCTCCCAGGATGCACCATTCTACCATCTGCTAAATCGATCTGCAGCTCATAGCACACAGCATTTGGAGTCAACATTGAAAATCTTTCCCTATTTTTTTTCTCATCTCCTCTGCTTCTGTTCCACAAAATGGATGAGAAAAGACAGTCTGTGAGATGGAAGAGAGACAAAATTTATAGGTGATCAGATTTTATTTATTTGCTTTTTGGGTCACACCCGGCAATGCACAGGGGTCACTCCTGGCTCTGCGCTCAGGAATCACCCCTGGCTCTGCGCTCAGGGGACCATATGGGATGCTGGGAATCAAACCCGGGATGCAAGGCAAACGCCCCACGCGCTGTGCTATCACTCCAGCCCCGGTGATCAGATTTTAAAGAAGGGATTATAAGATGGTCTTCCTAGAAATGAAAATTGGTAATGGGCAACTTATACAAGAAACAGAAGTTGCAAAGAATAATGAGAACTTTTCATCTACTTTATTGAGAAAGACGTAATGAGCCTGCCATTTTCACTTTCTGTTATGGGAAGGTAAATAAATTATTATTATTTTTAGAAAGTAATTGATACAATAAAAAAGTAAAAAAAAAAAAATCACACCTCAACTCATTATCCCTATTATCCTCCATTAGAGCGAATTACTACCGTAGATTTTGATATTCCCTCACTTTTCTTTGAACTCGGTACTGCCTGGTAAGCTTTCTAGAAAGGTATGTTAAGAAATGTCCATGGAGAGTGAATCTCATGGAGAATGAATCTATTCCTGGACACCACCAATATACCAAGAGCTGCACACCACCTTTGATGGGGTATAAAGTAGAAGGGAACCAATCTTATAGGGAAATATATTTTTACAGATAAATATATATATATAAGCACACAAGGCTCAACCTCTAACAACATGTTACTGATCCCTAACAGAAGGGCTTAATGGCTCCTGGGTGAAATACAACAATGTTCACACACTTTCTTCTAAGAAACCTTTTATGGATCATTTTTAGAGGGTTATTCATAACAAGCAACACGAACTAAATTATTTTGGTTCTGCCTGGGGGCAGGGTTTGGGGTTTGGGATGGAAATATGGTGATGGGATTGGGTGTTCGAATATTAAATGTGATCAGGTATTGTCAACAACTTTATTTAAAAAAACAAAACAAAACAAAAAACAACTACCAAAAGAAAACATCCATGGAGGCAACCCAGGTGTTGGACTAGCTCAGGGCTAGCTCAGGGCTGCTTCCCTGCTCTGGTAGTTATACTCTGGGACAGAAAGACACGGGCAGGGCAGATGACTGGGTGGAAGGTGTTTCTCTTCACTTGCCTTCACGGAGGCACTTGGCTTCCCAACTGGCTCCTGGGAGACTAAGGGCCGGGCACTGCTGACACGGTAGCCACCGCAGCCCTGGCCAGCTCTATGGCAGCCGCTGAGTGATGGTGGAAGGCTGTGCTCAAACGGAGGAAATCATGCCCAGGGCATTGCTTAGAAGGGCAGATACAGAACTATGGGTCAAGCAGTAGTTGTGGGGGGAAAAAAAAAAGAGAGACAAGTAAGTAAAAAGGAAAATGCTCCTAGTACTGCACTTAGGGACATTTCTCTATCAGAAAAACTTTGTCACCCAAGTGTTGTCAGTCTTTAAGATGTGCTTATGTAGTGATAGCACAGTGGGTAGGGCGTTTGCTTTGCACGCAGCCAACCAGGGTTCGATTCCCAGCATCCCATATGGTCCCCCAAGCACCGCCAGGAGTAATTCCTGAGTGCAGAGCCAGGAGTAACCCTGAGCATCGCCGGGTGTGACCCAAAAAGTAAAAAAAAAAAAGAAGAAAAAAAAACCTGCTTATGTGCGACTGCAGGGATGTGCTTGATGCCCCACCCTGAATTCTCGAGTTCTCCTGAAGAGCTCAAGAAATAACTGGATTCTTCACTTGCATCAAATCCTCTAAGGAGCTGTGCTTTCACACGTGGTGCCCTGCCAGAGCTACTAAATGACTTACTGGAGTATATAGGTAGGAACATCCACGAGACTGGCACACTCTGGTACATATTTCAAGAAGCACTGCCGGGTCAGCTTGCTACGTACTCCTGCTGACACAGGGCGTTGTGTTTGTGGAACCAGCAATGAAGAAACCAACTTTCCATGGTGATTAGGAATTGACTGACTCTTCAGAACTTTCAGACTTTTGGGCACTGCCAATAACGAAGTTTGTCCAGAGGTGGAGTCTTTCTAGGGCTGTTAGAATATATCTCCAAAGTGGAACTCAGGAAACGAGTATCCCATGTGAAAAACTTGGATGAAAATGCCTCAGATCTGCTCTCAAAAATGTTAGCCTACCCCAGCCAATTCTAGCAAAATGGCACGGAATCATCTGTATTTTAATGATTTGGATGATCAGATTAGGAAGATGCATCTCTCTTGACAAAGAGTTTCCACATATTGTCAAGATTAGACATTTTTACTGTTGACTATTTTTGCACTGTGTATTTTTTTGTTGTTGTAAAACTTAAGCTGTACTTCATCTTCGAAGTTCAAATATATAATTTAGATATACAATATAGATATATAAACGTAGGTCTGAGTTTAAATGCAGTAATTTGGGGGGGTTGGAGCAATAGCACAGTGGGTTGTGATTTTATTTATTTTTTTTGCTTTTTGGGTCTCACCTGGTGATGTTCTGGGGTTACTCCTGGCTCTGCACTCTCGGGGGACCATATGGGATGCTGGGAATCGAACCCGGGTTGGCTGCGTGCTACCGCTCCAGCCCCACAGTGGGTTGTGATTTACTTTGCATGCAGCACCCCCTATATGTCTTCCCCTGGTCTTGTCAGGAGTGACTACCGATGAGCACAGAGCCAGTAGTAAGCCTTGAGCACTGCCAGGTGTGACTCAAAAAACAAAAGTTTTTTTTTAAAAAAATAAACATCATAATTTTGAATATGGGTTTAGAACTCACTGCAAAAACTCTTGTTACTAGAAAAAAACCTACAGATCTTTAAAAAAAAAATCTCATGGAATGAAAGTGAATAAGTAAAATTAACTACTAGGAAAACAAGTAATTGAGTAACATCTCTCAAAGGCTTAAAAATGCTTCTGGCCAGAGAGAGGTCAGTGGCCTGAGCACATATTCTCCATGTCAGAGGCTCTGAGTTCGATCTCTGACACTGCACGATTCACCTAAGCATCCACGTGCAACTCCTGAGCACTGCCGGATGTGTGGCCCCCAAATGAAACAAAAATAAAAATGCTTAACAAAACAAAAATAAAATCCCTTCTAGCAATCAGTTCTAAGGAAGAACATTTTGAAATGTCAACTAAGATATGCCCCGTAACATTTACTTCGCCCCCCTTAGAAAGTAACTAATACAGAATAGCTATGGTCCGCATGGATGATGGAATATCACACAGCCATGAAAAGTTCAAACAAGCAAAAGACTCATGCTATAATGTTAACAAGTGGCAAGAAAATTTTTTATGTCAAAGTATATATACATAAAAAAACCCCAAATATTTTAACACTTTATTTTTACTTCTTAGACTGGTGATTTTCTTTTAAAACTCTGTTCCTTTTATGATCAGTAGGCATAATATTCAACAATGAAAGGCATAGGATTGATTCTAAGTTTTCTCTCTTGTTCTTCTGAGTCTGCCTCCACACACAGACACACCTACCTTGTAACCACCAATCCGGTGGTCAGGTTTGAATTCTTTGCCATTTTTCAGCCAGCGCAGAGTGGGGTTGGGAGTCCCATTGGACGGGCACTTGAACTTCACGGTCTTGGCAGCTGGCACCGCGTGCAGCTTCTTTTCCATCTTTTCTGGGGACGTCCAGTATGGAGCCACGGCTGCCCAGGAAAAGCCGAGACAGGCCGGGGGGGTGCTGGTCAGGCCCAAGTGGATGCCCTCCCCACCTCTCCCCAACCACTGGGCCACCCAGCCCCACTCACACCCCACACCCAGACCCCAGGGGCAGGAAGACAGAAACTGTGTCTCACGCATACGGTTTGGTTTGGTGTTATCTGTCTCTTTCTCCTCGGAAGAGGAGTCATCGTCATCATCATCGTCCTCGGAGGAGGGGAGGGCATCTACGGGAAGGAGAGGGGCACTGAGGTCCCGCCCTAAGGACAGGACTCTCGTGACTTCCAGCCATATCGAGAGATCCGACTCTCACCTCCCTTCCCCATGGGCTCTGGGAGCCGAGAAAGGCAACCAGGGTGCCAGACTCCTCCCACCCTCTGCCTGGGCAAGCCCCATTGGGGTGGATCCTGCTTCTGAGACTCAGGGCTCCCAGACGCGGGGCCTGCAAGGACCCTGGGCCCCAGCCACATCCCGGCCCTGCTTTCTTTCTCTCTCCGCCTGCGGCTTCTCTCACCCCCGGGTGTCAGAGGAACCTACACAGGCGAAGGCACACTGCGGCAGGGCCATTCCCAAAGCTCTCCTGAACCCCTGCCGTGCAGCTGCTGAGGCCGCAGAGGACGGTGGGGGACGTGTGGTCCACGGGGACGCGTGGCCCCCCGCACAACCTGCCCTGCCACCACTCGCCAGCAAGGCCCTGGAGCAGGCGGGCCTCCTGCTGGGGTCCAGGCTAAATCTTTTTCTGGCCGTTCCCAGTGATTTGGAGGGAAACGGGCAGTTGGGGCCCTGTGCAGGGCTAACTGCTGCCCGAGGGGCGGCTTGCGAGCTGCCCAGGTACACGACTGTCAGAGAGGACATGCTGGCCAGCCTCGCTAGCTACGCCCAACAGTGTGGGACCTGCGTTCTGAAAGTGGCTGATGTCCAGAGTCCCAGAGCACTAGAGTCCCCAAGGTGCCCTGGGCAGCTGTAGCTGGAATCTTCCCGCAGGCCCTGGGCAGCTGTAGCTGGAATCTTTCCGCAGGGATGAGGTGTGGCAGGGTCCGTCCCGACACGGGAGGGGCCTCACTGGCCGTCTGGGGCCAAGCACTTAGTCCAGCACCCAGTACTTAGCCAAGGGCAAGGACAGGACCAGGGAGACTGTCGGGGGGGGGGGGGCGGCAGGGCGGGGGTGAGGCTCACACTGGCATGCCCCTACCCTGGGCTGGACGCCAGCACTGCACTCTTGGCCCTGGCACGGAACTACCGGCCTCTGGTGGAGGGTCATCCAGGTTGACCTCAGGCCCTCTGAGCACTGCTCGGAGCCTCCCAGGGCTCCCCAGTGAAGTGACAAGGACCCGATGGGAGGGACGCCGGAGGAGGCTCCAGACCGTCATCTCGGCAGACGGTGAGGGAGCAACCACTGGGCCGTCCTGCCAGGGAGGGAGGTCAGCTGCCAGCCAGGGCGGGCTTGAGAAGCCCCAGGACTGGGCCCACCCACCCGGTCACCTCCTGGAGAGCCAAGCCACGCGGCGGGCGGGTGCGAGGTTAGTGGGCAGCAGTTTCTGAAGCAGAGTGGGGGGGGGGGGGGCGGGGAGGGAGGCGGGGGCAGGGCCCGCTCTACCCACCTGAGACATTGACGGAGATGTAGGTGGTGTCGCTGCCCGAGGGGCTGCTGGTCACGCACGCGTAGAGGCCCGAGTCGGCGGGCGCGGCATCCCGCACCTCCACCTCCTCCCCCGTGATGTGGGTGCGGTTGCTCTCGGCCAGCTGCACCCCATCCCGCAGCCAGTTGATGCTCTGCACATCGTCCCGCAGCCGACAGCGCAGCTGCAGCAGGTCGCCGGGGTGGGCCAGGAGCGACTCCACTTCCACGGGGGCTCCCCAGGGCTGGGCTGCAGGGCCCCCCCCACAGGACGGGGAGGAAGCGAGGGAGGACGGAGAGAGGGGAGGGGAGAGAGAGAGAGAGGGCATTACGCTGAGCTGCACGGCCACTGCCGCAGGGAAAAAGGCCAGCCTGGGGGGGGGGGGGAGGGGGGTGTCTCCCGTCCTGGCTCCTCGCCCACCCCCCCACGGCCGAAGGAAGCAAAAGGCAAAGTTAAGCAGCGGCGGCGGCGGCAGCAGCGTTAGGCGGCTCCTAACGTCGGGGTCCTCGCCCCCCTCCTGCAGTCCAGTGCCCACTCCGTCCAGAACGGCCGCTGCCCGGCACATCAACCCCGTTTCATGTAGGCTGGCTCGGCCTGGCCCTGGCCCTGGCCCTGGGCACAGCCGGACACACCCCCATCGCCGGGATCTGCAGCCCCCACCCCCGTGAGGGCAGGTGGGGGGAGCCGGCCCGGGAGGGGTCAGCCCAGGGAAAACGTCGGCGAACAGCTGTGGGCCGCGGCTCGGGGCTGCTCTTCGGGACAGAGGCCCGCAGCTGCCACAGAGCCACACTTGCTCTGCGGCGTTCGCCAGAGCCGGACAAAGCGCCTTTCTTCTCAGCCCCCGCCAGGTCCCGCCCGCCTCCGCCCTGCGCACGGGCACATGCCCACTACCCCACTCTCTTCCCAGGACCCAGAGAGCCACCTGCTCTGCCCCGGCCCCAGCCCCAGGCTGGTGGGCACTCTACAGAGCCAGCCTGAAGCAGATCCCCAGGGACTCCCACGCCCACCCTCACTGGGGGGCATCCTGGGGAGCTCCAGCAACTCCCCACTGTCCCCACAGCGCCTGACTGAACCCCTGCTTCGGAGTCTGAGGCCCTGCATCCCCCTGGGCCCCTCATGCATGCCCAGCTGGCTGTGGTGCCCTCGGCCCGCAACACCCGTCTCCCTGCAACCTCGGCACCAGAGCCCAGGAAGGGCCCAGGATCCCGCGAAGGGGAGCTTAGCAAGGATGGCCACTCACGCCCCTTGAGCCCCTTCCTCCACCCACTCATTCCAACGGACTCTCTTCCCTCCTCTGTAATTGGTTTTACTTTGATCACAAACTCGACGGGGGCTCAGGGGATCAAACCCAGTGAGCTGTGTGCAAGGCCAGTGCCTTAAACTCCCGGACCACCTCCCTGGTTGGCCCCTTGAACACTCTCGGAAGTATTTCTGCTGGCAACTTCATAAAGGAGACAGAGAAACACAGGGAACAGTGTCGGGCCCGGCCAACGCCAATCGCCGGGCCCCGTGGGGCAGAAGTCGCATTGTGAGAAAGGGCACTGTTTTAGGTGGCCTGGATGCCAGCAGGATGGCACTCCCTCCGTTCTGAGTCAGGTCAAGAATAACACCACCAAGGTGAGGAGACCGCACAAGTGATCGAAACAAGCTTGTGGGTCTTTTAAAAAAAGACTCATTCTTTCCATTTTTAGTGCATGCGGTTTTGTTCGAAGAAGGCGGAAGACAAGCAGCTCGGACGGGCCCCCGAGGACGCAGCAGACGCTCCTACCGATCCAACCTTACTTCCCCCAGTGACCTCACTGATTAAATGTCCTGCAGCTCGTGATCCGTACCAGCGCTGGCCAAGCAGCAAACTCAGGAAACTCAAATTCTTAGCCTCGCCATCAACTTCAGACGGAAGGGAGCTGGGGGGACGCAGGCACCACGAGCTGGAGAAAACCACGAGGGGGCACAGGCCAGTTCTGGGGGTTCCGGCTTGAGGCCCTAACTCCCATGCACTCCAGTGAGATATGCTCCAAAAACTCTTCTAAAGGCGTCCGTGGGAAGTCTCTGGAAGGTTCCAGAGAAGTCCACTGGCTGATCCAGGCTTGATCCCCCCATCATATGTCCCTGAAGCCCCGCCTGGAGTGAACCATGAGTAGAACTGGGGGTGACCCCAAACAGAAGCTCTCTCGGGAGTGTCCCGGGCTCCAGCGGCCCCTCACAAGAGCCGAGGCCTGCCCTTTCAAAGGCTCTGCACACCTCTCCCCTAACTTCGTCTGAACCTCTCCAGGTCACAACTTTGTACCACTACGTCTTATTCTCCTCAAGGGCTATAATTCACATACCAGACGAGTCACCTATTTTAGGGTATAATTCAGTGGTTCGTGCTGTATCCTGAGTTATGCAACCGTCATCACATGAATCTAACTTCAGACCACTTTTACCAGCCCCCAGAAGAAATCCAGGCGCAGTCACAGGTCAGCCTTTGGTTTAAGCCACCACCACTCTGCTTCTCACTGTACCAACTGATGCAGACCTGTCAGGGAGCTGTCTACACAGCCGTCTACACAGAACCCTCCTGTGGAGGTGATCACAGAACACACAACACAGTCTCATGATGGGCTTCTCTGTAATTGTTTTTACTTTGTGATCACAAACCCGACGGGGGCTCAGGGGATCAAACCCAGTGAGCTGCGTGCAAGGCCAGTGCCTTAAACTCCCGGACCACCTCCTTGGCTGGCCCCTTGAACACTCTCGGGGTATTTCAGTGAGCCTGTGGCTGCCCTTCCAGGCTGGAGAATGTATCACTGCTTCATTCCTTCCCATGCCAGATACTTCACTGTTTGTACAGAACACAGTTATCCATTTAAGCATATTGTTTCCAAACTGTCCGAAGAAAGAGCACGTAATTCAAAGCAGAATTATGGATGGTAATTTCCCCACCGCTGAACAATGTCTGAAATGGAAAATACTGAGGGCTTGAAACGGACTTAGCAGCGGGTACGGGCTAATTTTCAGAGGTACCAAAAATTAGTCTTCAGTTTGGGGGTTATAATGATTTTTTTTTAAGGCCAATAATGCCCTTGGATGTAGGCCAACGCATCCATTTACAAAACGGTGAGGATGGCATTTTTCTCTGGGAGGTGACAGGGAACCTACTGCGTGCTGGTTTCCTGGGAAGGCTCTGCCTAGCGGCATCGTTGCTCTGGTTGATGGCCCTAATCTTGGGGGCCCTGTGTCAGGCAGCTGATTTAAGGGCATTGCTGCGCACGAGACGCCAGCCGCCCTCAAGTCACCCCTCTCTGGCAGTCTGAGTCTTTCCAGCACCCCAATTTCTACCTCGGCGGAAAGGCTCTGGCTGTTGGCTCCACACGGCCATTCTCTACACGAGATCCGCGAGCCAGGCTATAAACGCTGGGTGTCAGCGAGAGCGGAGTGAACAGACGCTTTTATTGGGCTTGCCACGAGAGACGAAAACAGAATGCCAGTTTATTGCTCAGCCACTTAAAACCAACTCTTGGAGAATCTAATTTAATTGGAATGGGGAAGCTGTGAAGGAAGCAGCTAACCCAAACACTTGCTTTATCTATCTTCTTTCCCCAGAGAAGAGGTGAGGAATGGCGGCCGAGGACTTTTGGCATCTGGATTCCATGGTGACCTAGCCTGAGCTGAAAACGTTTGGCTGCAAGTCAAATGACTTTGCTCTTCCAGGCTCTCGGTGCGGTGTGTTCTGTGTACTGGGGAAGAACCAAGGAACTGCACTGAGCTTACCACAGGGGGCAGGAACAGTTGGGGCTGACCTGACACCCTCACGCAGTGGGCTGCCACATCAGAGCAGACCCAACATCTTGACTCTAAACCTTTGTCTCTGCCAACTTGCAGCACTGCGCAGGGCCAGGGGAATGAGCTCTGAGGAGGCCCGAACAAGCACAGACCTTGTTTTCCCTGAGAAGAGGCCTAGTTCCCACGTCTGAGGCGCAGACAGGAAAGTTCCTTCAGAACAGCTCCCCTGGGTGCCTCTGTGAGCTCTTGGGACAGTGCCAGGGGGTGAAAGGGATTAAAGCAAGGGCAGAAGCGGCTGCCCCTCCCTATCAGGATGATAAGATTCAGCCCACACCTTCAGAGCTGGAAGCACTTTGTACTGCAACACCAGGCAACTGGAGAACAGAACAGCTCAGGGCGGTTCTTAGGTTCCAGGGAAGTCCTAGGGGCTGCCGGACAGATGCTCAGGAGCAGGGCTGAGTTTGGGGACAGGCAGTGGGAGGTGACACTGGGCCTTCTGGCCTGCTTGGAGCAAGGTTCAGTCAAAGCACAAAGACACCAAACACAGCCATCAGGATTCTGGCCTGTGCGGTGGGAAATACAGTCCCACCAACATACGTGTCCACAGAGCCATGGACACAGGCCGTGCAGATACCTGAAACTGTATCTGGAAAAAAACACTGCAGTGGTTCTGGCCTGCACAGCCCATTGGGTCTGGACGTGGCCCTTCCCCAAACCACACAACTGAACACAGACCCAGGGAGCAGACGGGCGCATCTGCACAGCACTCAGCAGCTCACCCTGCACCTTTCCGGGAGGATCTTGGGACCTTTAATCAATTCTGAAACCAGGACACCAACACTGGCCAATACTTACAGCATGCTTCCTGTGTCCCGTATGTAATCTGTGCAAAGCTTTTTAACACCAACTCTCATTTGATCCTCACCCAATCCCGTGAAGCCGAGCCTATCAGGAGTTTACGTTATGGTTGCGCAAATTCACCGTGTGCCAAGGACAGCCCTCAGGAATCCTCATGCCAAGGAGGCTCTGGAATTACCCTCTCTGGCCAGAGGGGCACTGAGGCAGAGCCGCTCAGTATGTGCCCCAGCACCGGCCCTAATTTACAAGCTGCAGAGCTGGGGTCTGAGCCCCAGCGGCCTCTCCAGGGCCCACGCAGACACGTCTGGAGAAACCCTGACGCTTTTGTTTGGATGGTTTGGGGGGGCCACACTCTGCGGTGCTCAGGGGTTACTTTGGACTCTACACTTAAGGCATGACTCCTGGTGCTTGAGGGATCATATGGGATGCTGGGGATCAAACCCAGGTTGGCTGGGTGCAGGTACTTCCCTGGCCCCAGACCGTCGTGACTTCCGGAAGCAACTGAGAAACACGCTCTCTACCCAGCTCCCGTCCTCTCTCAGGCAGCCGCCATCTCCTCACTCGGCAAATGAGTCTCTGAATTGTTTCCTTGGCTTCTTCTTTCCTTTCCTCAGTCACAAACTACC